TGAAATTCATTTAATAACACCTCCATCCGCTATTGTATTCGATGGCCCTCTTCTAAGTTTTGTACGTCATCTCCGTTGCGTACACGACGAGCAGACTGTAGTACGAGGTTGTTTAGTGGAATTTCATGTTTCCTGTCGCTGAAAAAAGGAAGCCCTAGATGCAGACTATTTCCAGAAATTCATTTAATAACACCTCCATCCGCTATTGTATTCGATGGCCCTCTTCTAAGTCTTGTACGTCATCTCCGTTGCGTACACGACGAGCAGACTGTAGTACGAGGTTGTTTAGTGGAATTTCATGTTTCCTGTCGCTGAAAAAGGAAGCCCTAGATGCAGACTATTTCCTGAAATTCATTTAATAACAGCTCCATCCGCTATTGTATTCGATGGCCCTCTTCTAAGTTTTGTACGTCATCTCCGTTGCGTACACGACGAGCAGACTGTAGTACGAGGTTGTTTAGTGGAATTTCATGTTTCCTGTCGCTGTAAAAGGAAGCCGTCTCACCTGTAGATGAACAGGCGGCAGAGATACAAAAGTTGGGTGCCGGCCGGCGTTCGGGGGAGGGGGGGTTAGCTGGAGTCTTACCTTGTAGAATCCTTGCAAAACGAATTCGATTTTCGATATTTTCGCTATTTTCATGAAAGTTCGAAAAGACACCATTTCGAAAAGACACCATTTCGAAAATCACCATTTCGAAAAGTCACGATTGCGAAAATCACCATTTCGAAAATCACCATTTCGAAAATTACCATTTGGGAAACAGGATTTAGCAATAACCCATTTCCCAGTCGCAGAAAAAAATGATTTTCGTTGGCTGGTTTGAGGTTCGGGGGTCTATTTTTCCACTGGAGACACGACCAAAACAATTTCTATTACATCACTAGTCATATCCGAGAAAAACCGTGGTTTTTTGACACTGCAATTTTTATGCCTGTTTGAAACCGGGTCTTTTCGAACTGGGGATTTTTCGAAATGGTGTTTTTCGAAATCGTGACTTGTCGAAATGGTGATTTTCGAAATGGTGTCTTTTCGAAATGGTGTCTTTTCGAAATGGTGACTTTCGAAATGGTGTCTTTCGAAATCGTGATTTTTCGAAATCGTGATTTTCGAAATGGTGATTTTCGAAATCGTGACCGCCAACCAATCGAACTCATTTCAATTTTGGGTTGATTTGCATAATGGGATGATGACAAATCACACCTGACTTGGAACCCGGCGGGCAGGAGACTTCCCCATGGCGCGGCAGGAGAGAGAGATGGCCAATAACGTGACACTTTTTTGCTATGGTAGAATGTTATGCAAATGTAATCTGCCGTGGGATTGTTGAATTCGAAAGTACGTAAGGAAGCATTAAAGGTGCTTCAGGATCCTCCAAGAAACTCCAAGGAACTCCAAGGAACTCGGTAAACGCGAGAAAAGGAAAATCACTGCTATTGTTTTCCGAGAGATACAGAGAGCACGAGAAAGAACGATAGAGAGAGAGAATGGGAGAGAGATAAAGAGAGAGAGAGAGAGAGAGAGAGATAAAGAGAGAGAGAGAGAGAGAGAGAGAGAGAGAGAGAGAAAAGGGAGAGTGAGAGGGAGAGAGGAGAGAGAGAGAGAGAGAGAGAGAGAGAGAGAGAGAGAGAGAGAGAGAGAGAAAGCTATCTAAACCCGAAAAAGTCAACGTGAACTGCGCTTCTTACGTCCGTTTTGGTACTTCGGGCAATCGAACAAATTGTTTGGGCGCTCTCCCAATTCGACGCGAAAGATTTTAGCGAGACTTTTGATATTACTTCGAGCTCAAATGGTGGGCACGCAATATTTCCAATATTCTTTAATGATTGAATGAAACCAAAAAAATGAATTTTTTTAAAGGGGCCAATCGGTAGCCCTAGGTCCTAGCTACTATCCACTGGCCGAAAATTGCGAAAAAATATACATTCAAATTTATACAATTAACGGCACATAGGACAGCACGGAGGGGCAATAAAATAACGGGGGGCACTTCTCGATAAAAAATTTCCATTACATTATTTCGGGCTGAAATTGATTCTCTTAGTATTTTTTTCGACGCTTTATCGAATTGCACTCGCAAAACCTTACAGTAATTGCAAATTTCATAACAATGAGTGCCCCCCCCCCGTTTGTTTATCCCCCCCGCTACCTAAGAGGACCCATTTAAAATAGTGTTTGGCAGGTCATCCGGATTTGGCTTGTTTTTGCCATAACTATTTTATTTTACATTATTTTGGGTTGCCCCTAAAACTCCTAGAATATTTTTTGACGCTTTATTGAATGGCTTTATGTCCAAAACTAGCTTTGCCTCTCTTGTTTCTATAGGAAACCACGCCTAAATTTTGTTTTTGCTGTAATTATTTTATATTGCATTATTTTTGCTGAAATTATAACTTTTCAAATATTTTTCTCTGGTCCAGCGACTGACATATCGAAAATGCCGCAAAAAATAGCAAAAATACCGAAAACTAGCTTTTTAGCCCGATTTATGGAGGGCTTTAACTTTTTGAAAGCACAATATTTTCAGCGGTCCTTACGTAGTGAATCGCGGCAATCTCTGGTTATTTGTCAAAATCATCTGTACCAACCAGCCATTATTTGCATCTGATGATTTGTAAGCCGCCTAATAAAAGCCTTGTCTACCGATATGCAAAAGGGTACGCGGAAGGATGGGCGGAGCCAGTTTGGCCCTCTCTCTCTATATAACGCGCGACCCCTAAGGTCGCGCGGGTCCATTCTCCTCCCTTCCTTTCCCCGCCCCAGCTTGCCGGCTGCCATAAGTGCGCCCACTTATTCTATTTTATGATTAATGTATGGCCCCTTAATAAAGGCCCTATTAAACCAAATATCGTCCTTATTAGGCGGCTTACAGATTAGCGAAACAAAATTATTAGCATTTGCGGCTGCGGAAATATCACACTCCACTTGAGGTTATGGCCGCATGGCGGCAGGTGATGCTTTTTACGCTTTTTAGGTGCCGCTGGAAGTGATGTTTTTGAGGTTCGCCGAGGTTTAAACTCAGGACGGAGCATTGGGCCACTAAAACCACTACCATATAGAAATCCACCCGAACGGAAGCCAAGGGGGAGGGAGGTTGCAAAACGCTTTCGTCGTGGCGACATCACCAAATCGACCTTAAAAACCTGCGAATACGTCAGGGTCCATCTCCACCCTACAAAAATCTTGCAAGCGCCAACGACAAGCCCTGCCCCGCCCACCGCCCCAACCATCCACCCCTGGTCTTCTCCAGCTTGTTCAACGGCACGATTTAATTTCGGATACCGCTGCTATTGCTTTAATTTTATGCTTCGCGTTGTCTTAGAAAAATGATTCGCATCGCGGAAGAGCCTTGATAAAGTTTTGGTCAATTCTGTCAAGTAGACGGCAAAAAGGTAAGAGTTTACTTTACTCCCCGCCCCACAGCCGAAGGGTCTCAAAGTTTTTGGTATTTTCACTTATTTTGTCGGGATTTTTGCAAAGCCATTCGATAGAACGTCGAAAAATATACTAAGAGTTTTAATTTGACCCTACAATAATGTAACATCAAAATACTGTGTATTGTATTAACGGGTCTAATGCTGAAATTGGCAGCAGGTATAAGGGGAAAAGCAAAATTAACACGCCGCGCCCCGCCACTGAACGTTTGCAAGGCTGGGATAACCGGGTCCAAGCTTGAGATGCAGGCTGCATGCAGCTCCCAAATAATCACTACTCTTCAGCAAACTGTACTTCACATCGTCTGCAGCGTGGCTGCGATTTGGGCTATGTACTCTAAGGTGGCACAGGACAAACCAAGCGCCGTAAATTTCCCGTATTGGCCTTGCTGTCACTCCCAGGCTGATCGGTAAGACTCTGTGTTGCAGATCCAATTGCCCTTTTCTATCCCTTCGCTCTGCCAACACTCGATTATTCGGTATTTTGCTTTTTCAGGCTCAACCTGGCGTCTAAGTCAACGCGGTCCAGCAGCTCGTCATACTCAGACCCTCAGATAGATTCTATGCGTCATGTTGTGTGTTTCTTTTCACGTGCTCGATAAGTACTTTTCTCGGGCGTTTTTTCAACCCATCGAATCACATCTGCCCGAATTGCATCCCATCGAATTGCATCCCATCGAAATTACATCCCATCGAAATTACGACTCATCGAAATTACGACTCATCGAATTTACGACTCATCGAAATTACGACTCATCGAATTACGACTCATCGAAATTACAACTCCTCGAAATATCGGTTTTTGTCAACCAAATTTTTTTCGGCCCAAGCCTAAATTTTTTTATGAATAGCGGATGCGTTTCTGCATGGTTTTTAACTATTTCTAAGCATAAAAACTATACAGATTTTTATTAAAAATTTAATTTTAGGTCGAGAAACGGATTTTTTTCGGCCAAGAATGACTAAAACTGGACCGGGCAAAAATTAGTATTTTTTGAAAATTCGCTTAGCTGACATTTCTATGTGTCGTAATTTCGATGAGTCGTAATTTCGATGAGTCGTAATTTCGATGAGTCGTAATTCGATGAGTCGTAATTCGATGAGTCGTAATTTCGATGGGATGCAATTCGATGGGATGCAATTCGATCAGATGTAATTCGATGGGATGATAGCAAATCCTTTTCTCGCTGTTGTCACTTCCGTTTTTACTTGCTGAATAAAGGATTTTGGGATCCAGGGTTGAAGAAAAATTTTTGAACTCACCACGACACCGCAACACATCTACCCGTCTTTGAACTGCATAATCGAACACCATCTCCAAATAGTGGCCAGGTTGCGCGTGCGCGTTGCGTAGCGCGGTTAGATTTTACCTCACCGCGGGCTGGCCGACACGACGTCGTGATAGCCGGCATTGGAAAAGCGAGCCTGCGCATTATGTATCGCCGGTGCGCAAGAATCCATAAGGAATGATATCATGCCTTGCCCGCCCCTTTAAAGCCATGAAAAGCACACAGGCCTAATTTGTGCAGTACGCATTTTATTTCATGATTATTAGTGTGCAGCGTCTATGCATTATTATTGATGGCAAATAGGGCGTCGTTGTACCGTGATGGCGGTTCGGTTTCTTCGTCGGAGCTGAAAAGATAAAGAAATGCTAGAGTTAACTTTGTTTTTGTTATTTCTAGTCCGATAAAGGTTTCCGGAAACGAACTTTGTCCAGTAGGAATTCTCGCCGTAGATCATTCGCGGGTGGTAGAGCACTGGGTCGGCCACATTATTGTCAGCCACCTCGTTTTCACTGGAAAATGAAAACTATGAAGTCGGAAGACGGCTTAGGCTTAGGCTTGGGCTTAGGGTTAGGCGGGCTTAGGCCGAAGCTTAGGCTGAGGCCGAGGCTTAAGCTTGGGCTTAGGCTCCGCTCAGACTTTGGCCTAAGCCTAGGCTTGGGCTTCATCTTTGGCTTAGTTTTAGGCTTAGGCCTCGGCTTGGGCATAGGCTTAGTCAGAGCCTTATGCTGGGGTTATAACTAGCTTAGGCTTAGGCTTGGGCTTAGGATTAGTCTTAGGCTTAGGCGTTTACTCACGATCAAGCTGCCGCTCACGCTGCTCGCGCTTCTGATATTCTGATGCTCACACTAAGGCTACGCGCATTCTTAGCTCGTACTCACGCGAATTGGACGCTCCTGCTTACACATATGTTACGCTCATGCTAGCGCTTATGCTACACTCATGCTTACCCTGCGTAGGCTTAAGGCCCGCCCGATTTGAGCTTAGGCGTGTTGCACTGTCTAATCTACCACTTTTAAAACGTCTTTTAGCGCCGCACGTAGCTGCCGATACCTAGTATTAACGCGAGGTAGAATCCATCTCTTCCCAGCCCCTTCAAACGCAAATAAAAGTTTCCCAACTTACGTTTGCCAGTCCAACTCGCACTGCACGAGGGCGAGGGCCAGGAAAATTAGTATAATTTGGAAAACCCGCGAGATCATGGCGGCTACTGAGGATTTTTAGCGGCTCCAAAAAACGGCTAGGTTTCGAAGTGACGACCAGCCGTGTTCAGCGCCTGGAAATCGAGAGCAACACGGTCGCCTAATAACTTTGTGGGTCAAGGATATTTCAGTTTTCTCGCCCGTGCGGTGCCGGGGTTTTCTCAGCTGACCCAATTGCCGTATCGCGAAAAGGGGCGAAAATCCCGGGGGAAACGATACTATGCTAGTTGGTAGTTATTACTTTTGGTTTATCGTGTTTTAATGTAGGTTTTGTAAAGTTTTTTGCAAAGTTAAATAAGTACGGTATATTTCGCGTTTACCGCCATGTATTATTCGGTGTGTATTAAAGGTCTCGACAAGAGATGACTACGCTTTTGCGTTGCCAGCTAACTTTTCTTAAAAAGTTTCCGTCGCCGCGGCAAGCAACGCGTCTCGCCCTTCCCGCAACTGGCAAAGCTCCTTGAAAGGATAGACCATGGATTCCATGGATTTTTCAACACCGCGACACGCAACACGCCTCCAATTCCATTGCGTTACGGACTACTACCTACTGAATGGAATAAAAAAGCCAAAATCATAAACTTTGTGTCATCCGCCACCCGCAACGCCCATTCGCGAAGTAGGGGAGTACGGCGATTCACAGCCGATAGTAGTTCCAAGCAATGGGTGTCGCGACAGTTAGTCTATTCACTTGCCCAATTCGCGATACTAGTCGCATCCGTATATCCGCGTACCCTTTGTTCGCTCCCTCTCCTCGCCGTAACGCGCGCGACCTGGCCCACTGACACTGGCCCAAAATCGTGCAAATAGCCATTTTTACCACCAAATAAAAAAACTAATTTTAAATATGAAAATGAGGTTTCTAGATTCTGTTCTTGACTATTTCGGGGGTTGCTGACTCGACTATCCGAATCCGCAAACACCTGAACTCCGGCTCCTTTCCCCTTTGAGTTGAATTCGGCTTTGGAAGAGACCACAACATGTTGATCACGTCTTCTACGGACACTATTTGCACACAAAAAACCTTTATTCCAAACCAAAATCGATTTGCACACGCATCGAAGAGAAAGATGGGGTTGGAGAGCAGCCGGAGGGTGACGACGATCGATGTGGAATTTTCAGGTCAAATTCAGTTCATGGAATTAAAGGAACATGGAAGTCAGGTGAGAGGAAAGGCTGTTTTTACTCTAGCGGTATTTTGTCGAATCCCGTAGACGAGTACCACTAATTTTTTAGGCGGAGGCTAGGAATCGGGGACTTTTTAAAGACGTTTCCTCAGCTGTTCAGAGAAAAATTCGGAAATCAAAAGCTTGAATTGATTTTACGCATTAATGGAGGCGGCTGGCTTCTAATACGGTATTTTTGAAGTCCAATCAATCACGATGAAAATCAACAACTAGAAAAACATGCGACTGCGGAAAATGTTGGTCAACTCGTCGACGAGCGCCTCGTGGCGGTAGGAGACGCGAATGTCCGGGACGTTGGTGCGGTGGATGTCGTTGCCGAGAACGCCCTCCTCCTTGAAGTTGGGCCCCAGCCAGTGGATTTTCACCTTAAAATCCAGGATTTGTGATGCAGATCCATAACTTGCTGCCTTGCTGATCCCTTTAAGCCAAAAAGCGTCCTTACCTTATCCTCAAACCCGCTCTGCAGCACCGAGTTCCTGGCCAGCTCGCACATGTCGCAGGAGGACAGCTTCCAGACCTGGGCGGCGATTGAGTACTCTTCCATCAGCGCTTCTTTGGTGTAGTGAAATTGGAGGGGATCGTCCGTAGAGAGCGAGACGTTCAAGCCCTAGAATACAAGAACTGGAACTAGTTAATGATTTATATACCTTCTGCATGAACTCGTGCATCGGATTTCGCTGGTAGCTGACGAAGAGGGAGTTGTTGCTCAGCGGGGACATGGCGATTCCCATTTGGACGAGGTAGTAGAGGTATTGGAGCACGGGGACCTGAAAATGCTAGGTTTAGAGCGAGAGAGAGAGAGAGAGAGAGAGAGAGAGAGAGAGAGCGAGGGAGCGAAAGATATTCTTAAGACAAACCTTCTTCAACATCAACCCGTGAGCAATACTTTCAGCAGTCAAGAATCCAGTCACCAAATGGTTCACATGGCCGGCTTCTCCGCAGTGAGGGCGCAACGCGAACGTGTTCATACCACGAGATCTGAAAATTACGATTTACAGGCCCCCAATGCCCAAAAATTCGAATCCGGTAGCCGACACCAACCTGCGGAACGCGTTCAGCAACGACAGATTGGCGTACATATAGTAGAGGTAGTAGTTGTACGGCGGGTTCTCTTTGTCGGTGTATTTTTCTGGGACCGGGGTGCGGATGTCGAACTGGAAATCGACGGTTGGAGAGGGAGAGGGAGAGAGAGGGCGAGAGAGAGGGCGATAGAGAGATAGGGAGAGAGAGAGAGGGAAAGAGAATGAGCCCTAGATGAACCTTACGTGTACAAATTCATGCTTGCTCTCATCGTCCACCGAGTCGATGCCGGAGACCTGTTGCAGGAATCGGTGAAGTTCCGGGTGGGAAGCTGGATCGTTGGTGACCTCGAACAGCGGCAAGAAGATGTTGTCGAGCAGCTCACCAAAGTTCTTCATGGAGCGCGTGCGGTAGATGTCGCTGGAATTGTTAGGTTTTAAATTTTAAACATACAAATTCAGATCTTCTTTTGGGTGTGGCCAAACACAAAGAGCGAGAGAGAGCGCGAGAGAGACGGGGGAGGGAGAGGGCGAGAGAGAAATAGAGCGAGAGAGAGAGAGTAAGTCACTCACTAAAGTCTCGGAATCTGGATCAACCAGCGAGCATTCGTGCTCCAGACGTCGTGACTGATAGCCCAGCTCGCCAGCTTGTCCCACTCGTCCCGGCATCTACCGTAAATCGAGAGACGCGGCTCGGCCTGCTGATACTTTGACTCCTCAAGGTCGAAGAGCACCTCCTGGAAGGAATATCGAGCATGAGATATTTACAGTTAAACTACAATAAAATTAAGTAAACCCCAGTTACACTGACCTTGATCAGCTCGGCAAAATACTTGCCGCCGACGTGGTTGTCCGTCTTGATAAAGATCTCGCGGAGCCGCGATTCTCCAACCGGGTTGTATCTGAAGGTAAGGTGGATGAGTGAAAAAGAAGGGTGAGAGAGAGGGCGAAAGGGCGAGAAAATGCTCGAAAAGACCTACTTTGCGTTGAACTTGTCGAATCTGTGGAACGTGTTGCGGTCGGCGTGCACGTCGAGCATGTCGACTGAGAGATCGTACGCATCGATACCCATACCCTCGAAAACTTCGCGCATCGTGATCGGCTTGCCGCCCTAGAAATGGAGGGTTAGAGGGAGCGAGTGAGAGAGAGAGACAGAGAGAAAGAGAGAAGCTCTTACCTCCATCAACACAATCGTCTTCCCGTCCGTCTTGATCTTCTTCTTGATGAACCGGAGGAGGTGCTTTTGGTTCATCGAGGACGCGGCGTGGATGTGAGTGTCCACCTAAAGCAGGACATTTTCAAGGAGCTCATCAAACAAGAAAACTGCTCCAAAACCCACTCACTTTTCTGATATTGTAGAAATCGCGGTGGGAAACGCATTTCTGTTCGTGCAGCTCGCGCAACTCGTTCATCAGCACGTGAAGTGAGAACTTGTTCTGGAGGTAGGAGAGGCGACGGTAGCAGAAGGATTTCCTGAAAATGGTGGAAAATTCAGATGAAGGGCGTCTTCAAGGTTCCTTGCTGGGTCCCGCCTCATCTTCTCTCTCACTCACTCTCTCTCTCTCACGCCAGCAACTCACATTGGCCCATTGACAATCATAGCTGTCAAGATCTCGGTGTCAAGCAGGAATTTCTCTTGCGAGATGTAGCAGTCGTCGAACTTGGTCTCGCGCGTTCCATCCGCGTGGTAGAAGTGTGTCTAGAAAAATATCAAAACTGGACCGTTACATTATGATCAAAATTGAAGGGTTGGTGAAGGCAAAAAATCGGGCCCCACCCAACCCCAATTTTTCTATTTTGGTCGCCTTTTGAGTACGGGGTGCCCCCAAAAAGATCCCTTCTCGCGAGCGAACCCCTGAGAAAACCTACGACTCCATCCTTTCTCCTCAGCTCGTATTTTTCCTCAAATTCCGGAAGCGGGTTGTAGAGACCCCAGTGGTCGGTCGGGGGCTCCGGCGGGTGGAAGGAGGTGTTGGCGGCTGGAAGAACACGGTAACCCCGGTTCTTGGCGGTTTGCCAAGATTTGGGAGCTCCAAGAGAGAAGATTTTTAGTGGTTTAAAGGAAAAGTGAAGGCAGAAAGCCATTGAAACGAATTTTATACGTTCGAAACCCGCGAAGTTTGGGTTTTGCAATTTGAAAATTTTTAAATTGGCTTTTTTCAAAAAGCCAGTGCTAAATAATTTCTAAAATTTTTGAAAGAGCTACTGACACAATTCCTGCCTTCCCCGACCTTTCCCAGACCATAGAAATTTTGTATAGACCTGGGAACGCCCAAATTCTTGGCAAACAGCCAAAAGCCATCTCTCCAAACAACCAATCCGTTCCAAAAACGCCGTATATTGTGAGAAAAATCGAGACCAGGAAATTTCCAGGAAATAAGATTATTTCGACAAATAGCGGAGGAGATTCAAGGACCGCTGAACCCAAAATCCGCTCGACTTTGACTTCAACGGTCCTGTAGAATGGACGAAAAAGAGAAGATGTTGGCATGCCAATGAGTGTGGGGTTTTCAAAAACCAAGTTTAACTCTTCACCTCGGTCTTTTTAAGCTTTTTGTAAGTGTCAAGCCTTGGGGTTTTTGGCCAAGCAAAGGATACGGTAGTTATATGATTGTTAATAACTTTTTGGGGATTATTCAGGTCAGGTTTTAGCGGGCTTGCAGCCATTGGGGTGCACGCGGTACCACCGGCTCGATGGTGCTTGCGGAAACGGCGCTCCTCTAGGTACGGATCGGTCTCCGTGCGCTGCCAAGGGACTAAAAGTTTTCAATGTTCGGTATCATACTGCTATATTTTCGGTATTTTAAAGGTGCTAGGAAGCACCAAGGTCGACTTTGCATATTCACTAGAATTCGACAGCTACGAGATGCGTCAACTTACAACTGCTATATTTTATGGAGAAAAGCCATATCGGAGCGCGAGAAAGTCAGACTGAGAGCTAGAGCTAGAGAGAGAGCGAGAGACATAGAGAGAGATAGACGAGAAAGCGAACGCGAGAGCGGGAGAAAACGAGAGAACGAGCCCGACGGATAACGAGATCAGATGATAGGAGCGAGAGCGGCGCGCGGGAGAGCGTGAGAGCGTGAGAGCGGGAGAGAGAAAGGGAAAGAGAGAGCGAGAGAAAGAATGAGAGCGACAGAACGCGAGAAAACGTGATCGGAAGAGCGAGAATCAGCTCGAGAACCAATTTTCTAGACCTAGTCGATCCCCAAGGGTCGATTCTGACGCTTCCTGGCCCCATTAAAAACCGAAAGTCTGGACAAATTTGATAAGTTTTTAGTTCCGTGTTTATGGGCCTTTCCCCCTAACGCTTCACGATAATATTTTCAGTGCAAAGACTGTACACGAAAAAACAACTGTTTGGTGCCGTGGACGCGACTAAACAAAATAGGGTGCCACCCGCCGGGGGAATCGAAAAAGGTATCGAAATCCCGTGGGCGTGTTTGAAGAGAGATGAAATTCAGAAAAATGGAGGAGCATATATAAAAATATGAAAAGGAGAGAGACCATCGATATAATTCAAACTGCCCCAGAGAGGTAGATGGACCTACACAAATCAAGACCTGAAAATGGCGGTTTAATGGAGTATCGTGAATATAAAAGTAAAAGTTAATTTTTATGAGCTTTCAGTGTTCTTAAAAATATAATACCAAAATTTCCCTAAAGTATGGTAAAGTAAACGCTTATTAATTTATGAGTACGAGTCAAGCCGAACTTACTGGATTCGGTGTTCTTCTTCCGGCACTTGGGCAAATTCTGCGGGTAGTCGCCCTTCAGGAAATTGGATACGGTGGTGGGGAAGAAGTTGCCAATGCGCCGCATATATTCCTCGCGGATTTCTAGGGCCTTGATCAACTCCTTGGAGGCGACGTTGTGGTCTTCCAGAGGTACCTGGAAGAAATTTTCATCACTAGCTCATCACTGACATAAACTTTTCTATAAGACTACTCCTTACAATCAGCTAAATCGCCTAATTGCGAATTTATGTTATTTTTTCAAGGGACCGCGAAGGCATAATCTATGGCACAAACATCCAGAAACTGCACAAAAAATGTAATTTTCAGGTTCGCTCTCTATCTCGCTCTCTCTATCTCTCGCGCGCTCTCTCTCTCTATCTCGCTCTTTCTCCTTTCTCGCTCTTCTCTCTCTCTCTCTCTCTCTCTCTCTCTCTTTCTATCTCTAAATCTATGTTTGTCCCTTCCATAAGAATCCGTTTCCCCGGTTTTTGAAAAATCAACATTAGACTACGGCGCTCGCAATGCCTTCTAAATTCGTAAATACGCTTCACTACTAATTACAGATTCAAACAAAGGGGTAAACTCCAATTTTTCAACTCACCCCGCTCAACTCCTCGCCCGTAATGGCCATCCTCTGATAGTTGACATCAATGGCATCGCGGAACGTGTGCATCTCGATCAGTTGCGGGGACTTGGCGCTAAATGAAGCCATGTAAATTTTGGAGGCCAATGGTTTTGAGTATTTTTTGGAGGGGCGGAGCCCTGAATGAGTCATGCTACGTGCCAATCCCTCAAGCCATTTAGTCGGCCGGCCAGCTGGGCCATGTCTAGACCGGCCGAATGGCAAAGGGGCCGCTTTTTCACATTTTGTTTTTGCGAGCTTTCGATCCGATCAGATCGGAAATGCAGATTTTGGGTGAAGCTGAACCGTTTTTTGCTTTCAGGTACATTTTTTAATGTTTTTAAAGCACGATATGTACAATATAAAATCCCAAACGCTTCCTGATTTCCTGGTCCCTTCAAAATTGCCTTGGAACCGATTAGCAGGTCCACCAACCAAAAATTTCCCTGCCAGTCTGTCTTGGCCACCGAAAACGGCAAGTTCATTCTGTTTTAAAGATTTTCCGGAATAAACTCTGCTAGCTTGCCCTGAAAACGAAGGCCAGCCTGTTTAAAAATCTTTTTCATACAAAAGCGCTGCTAGCTTACCTCTCAAACTAAGAACGAAGGAAAAAGTGGGGTACGTTTTCAAACCTCCTAAAAATTCACTGTTAATTTGCGTATAAATTCAAGAAAAGTTCGTTAGCCTCTCTTTTAGCTATTTCCTTAAGAAACGCCGCTAGCGTGCCCTGAAAATGGGCTTAAGCCGCTCAAAAATCATTTCCCAAAGAATCTCGCTGGCCTGCCACCTGGTTAGAAAAAGTTTTGAACCAGTTATAGTAGGAGACTTGTAGTTACTTAAATCAGAAAATTTCTAAATGAATTCTGCTAGCTTGCCTTATTCAAAGGGCTGCGAATAGATGGGGTCAGGAGTCTAGATACGAAAGGACGTCCCTAAAGGACCTCTGCTAGCTTGCCTCAGCTGCGCCGTAGCAATCCAAAACACCGAAATTTAAAGAAAAAATACCCACCGTGGTGTCTCATCCTCCAGAAGAATTCCATTGGTCGATCGTGGGCTTAGGGTGCCCTCATTCATCGATGATTCGAGGCGAGCACTAAACTTTGAAATTTAGTGTCGAGGTATAGGTACGAAACCCAATTCACAACATCGCCATCAACGACTTTCCCACGGACTCCAGGTTTACAACAATTTTACGATAAAAAATGGTCGAAACCTGGTATGTTTTATACACTTTTCTACCTAAACAGCGCGGTGAGGGTGTGCTGTTTTTGGACGAATATTTTGACGCGACCATCGATATGGATGTCCATGGTCTGGAGGGGGTCCTGTAGTTTGGAGTAGTAGCTTGGGAGGTAGGATTATTGTCGCATTTCTTAAGAGTGGTAGAACGATCAAAAAGTTTTAAGGATTCAAAAACACGTAAAAATAAGGTATTTTTCAGAAATTAAAAAATCGCAAAACGTATAAAACCGTAGAGTACCGTATTGTAAGGTGTACAGTTACGGAAAAAGCAAAATTTGTGAATCCAATTTGTATAAACATGAAAACAAATAGCTGCAGAACTTCCCAAATTCCAAAATTCTCCCACGGCGGGCTTCTTTGTTTTTGCGTTGGACACTTTTTCTCGAAAGGCTTGAGAAAAGCAAAAAGAAGCTCAGGAGCGCCCATTTCTGGACTTACAACTGAATTCATATCTAAATACTAATTCCAAAAATTAAATTTTAATTTCTTCCCGGCCTTCCGAGTCCAGTGTTCTGTCCCAGCGCCTGCAAAACAAAATCAGGAGACAATCGGCCGGTTGAGAAAAATCCCTCCATCCCGGGACCGAAGAAGCCCCGCCGGATCTCCCATGACTCGCCTGCGTAAATCCGCCAGGGGAAAGGCGAGGAGAATTTGGCTTAAGAAAGGGGGAAATCCTTGGCCAGGTTCTCGGCCCAGCTCTGCCTAGGAGGAATGGCGAAAATAATTTGCTCACTCGTCTCGCTCACCCGGGGGCCCATTTCTCAAAGCCGACAGAGCTGGCTTATCCCCGAGGCCTTTCGGTGCGCTACAATCATTTTGCCGGGGACGCGGATGGGGCATTGAATCGGAAAATCAAGATGAAGTTCGGAAGTTAGAGTGGAAGAGCGATTTTCAGATTTTTGCCAGGTCCACCGAAGAACGAGAGAGACAGAGAGAGCGAGAGAGACAAAGAGTGACAGATAAAGAGCGAGAGGGAGGAAGGTGGAGAGAGAGGGCCAAAAAGCTGCTTTAAAGCTTATTCAGCTACAAATCTATATAATTAAAACTCCCTAGCTAATGAAGGTACTAGCAAGGCAAAAGCTACCAGAATGGACAAGTTGTATTTTCAGTTCTGTCCGGTCCTCTCTAATATTTCCAACAAACAGATGATAAAAAGGCTTTCCTGACCTAATAATGCGTTAAATTGCGGAATCTACGGCTTCGCTTGATTACTTTTTTGAGGCTTTTTTGTAGGAAAAGCAATAACTAAAACAAAGCCCAAAAATCCCAAATCACGACGCGCTCAGCTGTTCCTTAATGCTCTTTTAAACGTGCTAGACGTCATTTTTGGATAAATTCTACAGGACGAGCACGATGACCTTACAACACCAAAAACATAACCAAAGCTCCGAAAAACCCTCGCTCCACTTACTGGGCCGAGAATCGGCGCTCATGGTGCCGGTTGCTGAAATGCGACCGTCTACAGTCGATGCTGCATTAAAGGGACGGTGACAGCACGTGAGAGGCAATTTACAAGGCGTGTATTTTTGGTTTCTTCTTTTCACGACTCTGCTTTTCGCAACGATTCCCCGCTCAGCTAGCCTTGTAAAATGGAAAGTTTACAATTGCGGCACCTGGCTTGCAAGGCTGTGAAGGGCTTGGCCCCGGCCTTATCTTTATAGCCTCAAAAGCATGGAAACTCAAATCCGCGCTGCACCTTTAGAAAATTTATGGGCGCGGAGGGGTCAAGGAGAGCAAAGTCGAGTTTTGTAGGGGCTAAAGAAGCTGGGAAAGCGCGGGATTGATCTCTCATTCGGCTAGATCTCGACAGCTACGTGACAATCAGAAAACGGGCGCTGCGGGAGGAAGGGAGGGCAGAGGGAGCTAAAAACATCTACGAAAATTGCGCATCTTTGGATTGCCGCGTAGCTGTCGACGACACCCGGTCAAAAGAGAGATCGATTCGCGCACCTCCTAGTCCCTTTAAAGCCGGAAAAATCCTTTTAAAAACCCACCTAGATCCTACGCGGATTGTCTTTATTTTGAGCCTATAGAGACAGACCAGAATATCAAAACCCGATGCTTACCGATTCGACAGCTCCTTGACGATGTTATTTCGGCTTTCCAGGCTTTCGATCGGCACGCCAGACATTTCGAAGGGCTGCGAAACGGCGTGGTTGGAGCCAGAGGGGCTTTGAGCGTATCTAAAGGGTTTGTTAGCTACCTTAAACTTTTCAACTCCATATCGAAATTGCCGGAACTATCACAAAATCTCCTCAAAACACCAAAAACTCACCTTGAAAAGCTGCCGTCGTCGTCAAAAATCTCGCTGTCGACTTGGCCTAAAAATTTCAGATGTCAGGATTTAATTAAATAAGATGGAGGCCCAATTCTGACCATCTTAAGGGCCCCTTTTTGTCGGCGGGCAAAAAGCCCAATTTCAATGCGGGAATGAGAGGCTATTTCCCCCGTCTCTCCCTACCATTCTGATTCTCATTTTCGTCGAGCCGGTCCTCGTAAAAGGTCTCCACGAGAGCCTCGGTCATAATTCAGGGCCAACGCAAAAATTCTGGACACGGCGGGATAACTGAGATAACTTAATTTAAATTGAAAATAGAGATGATATTAAATCGAGGCGAAATTATACAAAAAGAGAAAATTTAGAGCCAAAAACAACTCAAAGCTTTCATTTTTGCATGAAAAATCCACCACATTTAAAAAGATTTCATATTACCTAACTACAAAAAAAAGAAGATAAATTAAATTAATCAAGTCGGTTTATTTATGAAGCAATTCAGAGTGGAGTAAACCAGATTGAAAAATTAGTAACATGATGTTTAAGGAAAATCCGCGTAGCAGTTTTTTACTGCTAAATTTTCTCAAAATGATCGCAATTTCATGATTTTAAAGTTAAGGCAATTTTAGACAATTGCTCCACAATATTTTTGAAGTATTTACCAACCCAAGCCAACTTCTAGATAACAAAGCCTGCAAAAAGCAAGCCAATAAAGTCATCAAAAAGTGAAAACAGTTAAAACAACTTTTAAAAAAGTTAACAGCTTTTTAAAGTATCCATAAATCTCAAAAACCTGTGAGCTACCTCCAGACAACTAAAACTCAATTTCGACCCCCGTCTGCATCCAGGCTACCGGCCATCAGGTTTGTAAAACTGTCAAAAGCCCTGGCTGACAGATGTAATCCCTCAAAGGACTGCGGGGGCAATGGTGATAAGGTAGCAGACATCGCGGCCTGAACTCGCCCTGGAGACGTCCACTTCAAGATTAAAAAGCGGACTAAACGCCTGGGGAATAGCCCTGGGAGCTGAAGAAGCGGCAGCCGAAAAATGCTGAACTCGAGCCCGGAACTACCCTCCCGCGCCAGACACCACATGATAAGCACGCGGGCCTGGCGGCGGCAGCCGTAGAATTTCGACAGGGTGAGAAAATTACAAGAATTTGGAGCCTGAACTTTTTAAAATACTGGGATTTTTAAGAAATATGCTAGACTGCAAGCCGAAGCCACAAGAAGAGTCCATCGGGCCAAAAAATTCTCGGCTCGGGATCCGGCTAGGTTAAAAATTCGCCTAAACCCCTCTAGAATCTTGTTTTTCAACTTAAGGTATGGTATAACACGTAAAAAGGTACTATAAAAATATCAGGAAATCCCGTTACACTATGCTAGCCTAGAAAACACCCAGATTTCGCAAATCGATTTTAAAACAGCGGAACATGCGGAAGCACAACTTGAAAAGCTTTTTCTAATATTTATAACATTGATCGTAATACGGTAGTGAGCAATATATTGCAAAACTGATCAAGAGCTTCTTTCCCGGCAAATTAAAGCTAACCCAAGCCCATACTGACAAGAAGGCGCCAATGACGGCAGCGGCGCCACAAAAATCTGCAAGAAAATTGGGGTTTTAGGTGTTGCGCAACTTCCGGCGGCTACAATCTACAGACAGCTAAAAGTTTCCACGTCCGGAAGGTCTCGTGAAATTTCGAAGTATAGGCTACTTCCAAAAGAACAGCCCCCTACTTGTGTTCTGCTCCTCCCCGAACCTCCCGAAACGAACAAGGCAAAGCGGAAAACAGCACCCGAAAAGCCTCATTTTTCGGCTTGTCAAGCTGTATCTTTCTCAAGCTCAAAATCGTTAAAAAATTAATCTATAAAGAAACAAACTTTCAAAACAATGAATTTTGTCAGAAACAAACAAAGCGATGAAGTTAGCGCTACGATCGTATGAAATCTCCCATGAAACGTTCAGAAAACTTGTGTTCTGCTCCTCCCCCGGAACCGCCCGAAACGAACGAGGAAAAGCGGAAAAACACCACCGGAAAAGCCTCATTTTCTGGGCTTTTCGGGACGCAGGCCTCCGGCTCGAGCTCGTCCCCCCCCCTGCAATTAGCCGTGCTTCAAATTTCCCCTCCACCCGCGGAGACCATCCCATAAATCTTCTCAAACCAAAAAAAATCGCGAAGCAGCGGCGGGATTAAGATTCTTCGCCCCGGACGGCAAATTGGCGGGTTTTGTTTTTGGGGCGACAGGGAAAGACGAAGAAAAGAAAAATAGAGGTGCGGACGAATCCAATTTGCCATTTTCGCGGTGGGACCCAGGAGCCGAACGGCCATTGGAGGGGGGCATCTAATAACTGGCGGTTATGATGGGATTGATGGGTTTTGCTGGGCGGGAGGTGCAAAGGCACGCGGATGGGATTAACAAAACTAAAAAGTTTTATCCCGACCAGAAAGCTATTTTTTTAAAGAGACCAGGAAGTCGGGGAATCGACCCATGCGGTTTACTAGGTCTCGGCAGCTATGCGACAAGCCAAGTAAGACAAAACAGTTCTTCGGTAGCCCTTTACCAACAACGCGAAGGTAAGTTTCTGGGCGTCATTTTCAGCGCTACGTAGCTTTCGAGACCTAGTCAGCGGCAAGGGGTGATTCTGGCACTTCCTAGACCCTTGAGGGCATTAGAACGCCATAAACCATCCCAAAAATCATCATAAAATTTTTTATGGTCAAACGCAAAACATAGATTTTCTGAAACGTTACATAGGTTATTTTTCTCGACTACGCGATGCCTTCAAGAAATTAAAACTCCAAATACCACCCTATGCCAAAAATATTCGTTTCAATAACTGTCAAAAGCTCAAAACTTCTGAAAAGCTAGAGAAGGCTCTACAGCCAAACTGGAAAAACTTCAAAATGTTGCTATAGCTACTTATGTGAGATTCGAAACTGCAAAAACCGAAAAATATAAAAGATATATTCGCTGAAAAAACCCAAAATATTGATAGAAAATGGTGAACGCCAAACGACAATAGCACTCCGAGGAGAACCCAGCTACAAACCTCGGATAATAAGCAGCGAGTGGTTATGGCCTAGAAATTGGGGGGCTGTTAGCTGAAGATAGGCCAAAGCAATAGTGACGTCTAGGCTTCAATGGTCCTTGAATGCCATTTTCTGCAAAACGCTAGCAATTGTTTGACTTCAATGTCCCTTTAAGCGTTCACCATACTCATTGAGGCGCTTTTTGCCCAAATCCTGTAGATTTTCGATTTTCCTGTACCTTTAAAGCAAGGGAGGCAATTTTTTTTGGCAAATTCGCATATTTTTTGGGGTCGGCCCCTTTAAGCCGCAAGATAATCAAAAACTTACGCAGCGTACATTTCCTCAACTGCTCGACAGTGTCATTCTTGGCCATGTTGAGTGTCAACGGCCTTGGCGGGGAGGTGGCGGCAGCTTGGATAGGGTCTGCTTCTGACTAAAATCGAGAATGATCGATGAATTAAAGGTATATGGAAAGCCTAACCAATGCGGTCTTACATTCTGTGACGTTAAGCTAGAAAAGATTGTTTGGGAAATGGAAGGGATGCTCAACTCATCATTTTTGTAGAAAAAAGCAAAATCGCTCGCTCCGTCTCACACTCTATCTCTCGCCATCTATATGTCTCTCTATTTTTCTCTCCTTCTCTCTCTCGCTCTCTCTCAGTCTCGCTTCATTTCTCTCTATCTATAAGAAAGGCTGGGTATAGGCTGATAATGCCGATTCACAGAATGCCGATTTACAGAATGCCGATTTACAGAATGCCGATTTTACAAAATGCCGATTTACAGAATGCCGATTTTACAAAATGCCGATTTACAGAATGCCGATTTACAGAATGCCGATTTACAAAATGCCGATTTACAGAATGCCGATTTACAGAATGCCGATTTACAGAATGTTTTACATAATTAGGGTTCTACATCCAAAAATTCAAACCGGATCCCCAGAAAAAAAATATTATCCCACTTGGACATGGCGAAACCGCCAGACCTGAGGCCTAGCTTTACTATTTTCTTTTTTTTCAGCGAAACCATAGTTCCACGTTACCAAGCGGCCGCCCATGGGTTACTAAAATAAATTCTTCTATAAAACAGTTTTCCCTTCCTCTCGCCGTGAGGCCGGGCATTCTCAACCAAGAAATAATAATGAATCGTCGAGTTTTGTCGCTGCGGCTGAGCACGTTGGAAGTGTCGGCGACCAGCGAAAAAGGCATGCGTTAAAACTTGTCGCGAGGCTTGCGATTTCCTCGTAATCCCCGACCCCTACGCGGAAAAAAGAATTCGTAAAAATTCGCATGTCCAAGTCGGCTAATGTTTTTTTGGGGGATCCGGTCTGTATTTTTGATGTAAAACCCAAATTATGTAGAATCGGCATTCTGTAAATCGGCATTCTGTAAATCGGTATTCTGTGAATCGGCATTCTGTAAATCGGCATTTTGTAAAATCGGCATTCTGTAAATCGGCATTTTGTAAAATCGGCATTCTGTAAATCGGCATTCTGTAAATCGGCATTCTGTGAATCGGCATTATGTAGGTAAATCGAAAGGCTGATCCCTCACCAAGTCCTCATCCTCTGGGTTGTAGAATGCGACCCCGTTGCTGTCCTGCGTTTCCTTGGGCATGCTGAAAATTCGGGATTACCTTAATAATCAGAACTTTTAGGATTTTGTAGGAGCATAGTAGGTACGAGCCAAAGAATCGTCTACGTGCCATCAACAAAACAATCGTCTTTGGAAAGCGAGAGGCTGGGGGGTCGCAAAGGTTAATCGAGTTAGCCGAGCCGTGAATGGGAAAACAGATTGCTGAATAGAACCAGTGGAAAATAGACGTTTAAAGAATAAAAAAAAACAATTTGATAAATTGGAATTAACTTTAAGAAAAGATATGCTAAAAATAGTAAGCTGGTTGGTGGGTTTCTAGCCTACAGTCAGTGACGAAGCGAAGCGTGAGCCAAGCCCCAGTCAAGCCTAAGCCAAGCTTAAGCCAACTAAGCCAAGCCTAAGCCAAGCCTAAGCCAAGCCTAAGCCAAGCCTAAGCCAAGCCTAAGCCAAGCCTAAGCCAAGCCTAAGCCAAGCCTAAGCCAAGCCTAAGCCAAGCCTAAGCCAAGCCTAAGCCAAGCCTAAGCCAAGCCTAAGCCAAGCCTAAGCCAAGCCTGCCAAGCCTGCCTAAGCCAAGCCTAAGCCAAGCCTAAGCCAAGCCTAAGCCAAGCCTAAGCCAAGCCTAAGCCAAGCCTAAGCCAAGCCTGCCAAGCCTAAGCCAAGCCTAAGCCAAGCCTAAGCCAAGCCTAAGCCAAGCCTAAGCCAAGCCTAAGCCAAGCCTAAGCCAAGCCTAAGCCAAGCCTAAGCCAAGCCTAAGCCAAGCCTAAGCCAAGCCTAAGCCAAGCCTAAGCCAAGCCTAAGCCAATTCCTGGCTTAAACATTTAAAAATATCAAAAGAACCGAAAACATCCAAAAACGCCGTTTTCCCTTGGAGTTCGATCAATTAATAATCATTAAAAAGTGCCTAATTGCTCTCGAAGAAAATCCCTAGACAAAACAAAAACTGGGTGCTCGGTTTTTTCCAGAAAATGACCAGACAACTGGCCGATGCAGGGGGGATTGCCTCGAGTTTCGAAAAGAGGGAAGGGGCCCGCCCCGAGTGACACCGAAGCAGAAAAAAGAAGATGGGAAAAGCCGTAGGGACACATCATCCTCCTAGCGAGGAGGACTTATTTTTAGGTGTTGACCCTGGATTTTTTCGGAAATGTCTCAAAAATACTGTTATGGGGCGTCGAACTTAAATTTTAGTTTAAAAATCATTTTCTTAGCGTTTCAAAAATCACGAATGAAAGTTTAAAAATGGAACGCCGTCTATTACATATCCCTAATGATAACTTTACAGAAAAAAACATAATTACAAGCCCGAAAAGCTAGGGATAGGCATTTATATTGTAAAAAGAACTTTATAACTACAAATCATCCATTTTAAGCCAAGCAAACGTGTTTTTAGCTGCGGTCAAGATTATGATTTTAGAATTGAGCTTTATAAGTCAATTTAGTATCTTAAATCTGAGAAATATAACAAAAATAGCATATATACAAGGCCGAAAAGCACCACGTTCGCCGTCTGGAAGCCCCGCCGCTTTTATTAGGCTGTAAAAACGGAGAGGAAGCGATTTACAAGCCCGGGCAGGCCTTAGAAATGGTGATAAGGGTTTGTCGGATGGGGAAATGGAAAGTTTAGCGCTCCTTTAAAGGGCTGGTGAAGGAAAGATCTATAAAAATAAGCTGGAAATGCCAAAATCTACCCTTCCTTAACTAGGGGTTCAGAGTATCTCTCCATCTCTCTCACTCGATCGCTCTCGCATTCGCTGTCTATCTTTCGCTTTTTTTCTCAATCTCTCTCTCTCTCACACTCTCTCCGTCTCACTCTCTCACTCTATCTGTCTGCCTTCCTAAACTTAACAAGCGTCATTTGGAGCGTTGTGTAGCTGCCTCGGCCTAATTCAGAGAAATGGAAATTTCGGCTTGCCATTCCCTTTAAAATGGAAGCAAGAGCCGACTAAAATAATTGCAGTTCAGCGTCTTAACGTTATTTCATCAACGCTCATAAATAGACACCCTCACCCCAATCTAGCAAATGGGCCGAATCGTGTGCCGTGCGGCCAGCCGGCCAACGCAAAAACCTTATTTGCGCCCCGTGAGAAATGCGATCGTCAAACATCCCGGCGATTTCATTTTTCGCCCAACGACAGACAGACACGAATACTCGCAGAGGGTTACTCTCGCTGGAGGATTCGAAAAAGAGCGGCAAATAGCATCTACACATCAATATTTGGCCACAATTTAAGAGGTTGGACGGTAGGGGGAATTCCCTGATCGTTTGATCAGGCAGCGCGCATCAACATAATTCAGAATTTGTGGTGAGGGCACGAAAAGTTCAACGGAATCAATGGGGCGCTACCAAAAACGCTGAAAACCACGCAAAAAATGTGAATAGTCAGCGTAATATTTCTAGGCCCTAATAAAAATATTAGGGATTTTTGAAGTTAAATCAACCTAAACTGATGCGAATTAGGCCTTGAAACGGGTTACATTAATTAATTTTTGCGATATCAGCTGAACCCTCGCTCAAAAACGTGTGAGATCCCGATGGAAAATGCCTAAGATAGCGTAAACATTCGAACCAAGAAAAAGAGACAGAGAGAGAGAGAGAGAGAGAGAGAGAGAGAGAGAGAAAGAGAGAGAGCGAGAGAGAGAAATAGTCATAAACAAGTTTAGACGCGACAATCCAAGGGAGCGAAAAGTTACGCGCTGAAAGGTTGTTTTCCTGATCCTTCGATCGCTCCCACAACTCGGTTGTTGGGCAAATGATTGGGCAGTTTTTTTAGAACGAGAAAGTCTTTTGAACCTGGAAAACTTATCCAAATCTGTTGATTAATATTTTATTGTCTTCTCATTTGTTGCCTTAAAAGGCTGGCGATACTTATGAACCGAAAATACTACACTACATGCTCTAAATCCAAGGCCGTGGCCCATTCGCAAAGAGAAAAGCGTTTGAAGAGCAGAAATTAACAAAAAGCAGTAAAACAGTTCCGTTTTTTTTCGTATAAACACGTCAAGGCGAGCTTGTGGGGCTTATGTTGCTTACGAACACCGAGACAACATTCCACATCCAAAGGGTTCTAAAAAATGGCCAGCTACCCCGTTACCGCTAGAAGCAACGGCAGGTAAACACATCAATTTGCTGCGACGAATCGCGTGTTTATTGCGGTGTGCAGCTAGGCGAGGCTAAAGTGCACCTCATTGCCACATGACCCCTGGCGGCGGCAGAGGGTCTACATGGCCAATCGGCTAGGTGAGCATGAGCTTGGATTTAGCGTTTAAAATCAGTACCATGAATGTTCAAAAATCATTAAGATCTCGAGTTTAAGCCTTTTGAACAATCCGACCACTATTTAAATATACCAAAACCTCGAACGTGTGTCCCAATAATAAAGCAAAAACTTTCCAATTTGGAATTTCAACAAAAATTTAGACATTCAGGCCTTAGAGTTTGTACTTTCAGCTCAAATTCTCCGGTATAATCCCTGATAATCCGTGAAGTCACGAATAATCAAGGAAGAGGCGCCCAAATCCGGTTGTTTACTACTCGGAAGAGGCCTTGGGTCCGCGGTAAAATAGCAAAATATCGATTGTCACGTTTTTAAGGCATAAAAATATGGACTTGAGAGAGAAAGAGAGAGAGCGAGTGAGAGAGAGAGAGCGAGCGAGAGCACGAGTGAACGAGAGTGGCGCACAAACCAGAGTGAGCCAGAATTACCGAGGAAGAGTCGCCGTGTGCCTAGTGAGAAAGACGGACTTGAGAAGTAGGAGCTAAAGCAGAAAATGTGCTTTTATAAGAAAAATATAGGCTAAAAAGGAGAGGATATAAGTTAGAGAACACATCAAGGAAGTCGAAGCGCAAGTAAAAGAATCTAGAGAAAAAATTCAAAATTTTATTTCAGAAAAAGGATAGAGAAATAGAGTAGAAACTAGCCCAGAAAAGTTGAAGCAAACATTCGAAGCGTCTACAGCACAACTACCACAGTAATCACTCACTCGATCGTAATCTCCGGCATGCTCGCTTTGGAGGCGAGTCCTTGAAAGAGATCCGCGTCACTGTCAGGTTTAGCCATGATTTAGAAAATGAAATATGGGCTTTCAGAGCTTATCCCGTGTTCACAGCCTCAATTCCGAATATCCAGCCAGCCAAGCAAAAATATAATCGATTCCGTATGGTGGGTGATTTTCTCCCCTCTTGCCAGCCAGCCCAAGCGGTCAGCTTTCTCCGCCCGCAAAATGCGAGTGGCGCCTCCACGGTCGAAAAAAGCCGCAAAAAGTTGACCGGGCCTGGGAAAGGGTCAGCTGGTCGAAACTTAGACGGGGATTAGTATTCAGTAAATACTGCTTATGGAATACTATCGCTTTAACGTCAATACTAGTGAGGTAGCTTACGAAAAAACGCTGTTTTGACGAATTTTTGAGCGGAAACTAGCAATTTCCAGCCGGGGGTCCATAATTACCCCCGCGGTGGCTCAAATTTGCCCCCTTTTGTTGGGGAGGAAGGAGCGGGGTAATTAGGAAAGCCGCGTAGATTTTTAGACGCAAAAATGAAAATCGCAATTTCTTCTAATGGTAACCTAACAAATTTAAAACTTTTGATAGCGTTTCTAGAACTCAAAATCTTGAAAAACAGGTTGTTTTTGAGCTTGATCAAAGGAGGATGAAGCGGAAAAGGCATTAATGGTCAAAGTAAGCAGCTAGCGAAAAAATCATATATATTTTCTATTTACTAATTACATAATTTACAGCCCTACAGCCAAAAATCCCGAAAACAAGCCGTTTTGCGCTCGGGGGCTGCTCGCATATTCCGGCATTCTTTTCGTCGTACCCTGCGGGCCCCGCTTTTGCACGACGATTTCGCATATATCGATCGTTGGCCACTCCCTGCCACACTCGTGCCCCCCTTGCCCGTGGCTTTTCTCCCCAAAAATAGCGGCCCAGAGCGGGAGGCGGCAGGCGGCAGACGCCAAATTTTGGGCGTTGGTTGCGAAAAATTGCAACGACGGTGTAAACAACTAGGAAATGTATTGAAAAGGTGTAAAAAGCTTTTACGAACGCAGAAAATGGAAACCGGAAGCTGTTGATAGGGATGGGACGCACTAACTACGTAGGGATGGGGGCAGGTGTTAAAAGTTGCAAAGACGGTGTAAACAACTAGGAAAGGTATTCAAAAACGAGCAAAATGTTTCTTTATAACTTCAACTGAATGCCCGAAGTTGCCGTTAAGCTGGAAAGAAGTAGCCGACAAAGTCAAATTGGATACGCGCACGAATGTCAGGGCTTTACAACGCCGCTCTCACGCCTAGGGAATTCATTGAAAAACGGGCAAAAGCTACCCTGAGCCTAACCAGAAGCCATTGTTACACGGCTCGTCAAAGGGCACTTTAGTACGGGGCGCGCCTATTGCCCCCCCGGGCTCTGTGGGGCGGCGCCGCCCATATTAAAAACTCAGAAAATCTACGTTTTCTTCTAATAACTTTTTTTATACTATTTCGAATCTTCGGGAGGCGTGAGAACTTGGTAGAGAAAAACATTCTCTATCGAACTGTGTAGGTCGCGACGAGAGTTCTCACCAAAATAAGGAGATTTTGAAGCCTAAAGTTCCCGAAATTTTCAACCCAGCTGGTTTATGGCTAGTTTTTCACCCTGTTGTGATCAAAATACGATCAAATCTCGCTAAAATGTTGGGTGGAGTCACGATACATGCTTTTGAATTAATAACGGAAGTTCTGGAAAAGATAAACCCTTGTCCGATGGCGATCATAGTGTTTCGATGCTAGCACCTTAGCCGGAAGGATTTGCGCCTTGTATGGCGGTTTTCTAGGTAGCTATATCAATTGCATGTAGTATTAATCGAAAAACTTCTGAATTATGAGCCTCCTATTAACTAAATAGCTAAAATAGTCGGGCACTTGGACGCTTGGAGCAGGAGCTTCGTTGCTGTAGCCCAATTTTGCTAAATAAACGCATCAGAGCGTACTTATTATTAAGCCAAAAAATTGTAATAACAACCCTGAAACCTGATTATGGAGCGAAATTGCAGCTGTTTTTGGATTCACTTCTTTAAAACGCGCTCTGGCCGCTTTTTGCTATTTTCTGGGGCTTTTTCGCGAGTATGATTTAATTTTGTGTTACCGTAGACGAACGGTGATACATTGGAGCAAAAGCAAAACAAAGATTACCAAAATGGGGGAGTTCGCGCCGCAGAGGAACCGAACCCGGGGGGTGTGGGGGGCTCGCCTGGGAGGTTAACCCACTATCCGCGGGGAGAGGGCCCGCACCCCCCCAGAAGTGCGTTTTTGGTAAGGCCTGACGAGCCGTGGTTAGGATTGAAATGAGACATTGTTACGCCTGACAAGCCCGTTTTTGCGCACATATCAGAAACTCGCAGCGCCTCCGATAGGGAAATTATAAGCTCACTAAAAAACGCGTACGTCTTGGTTTTGCATCTGACCAAAACATCACCTTTTCGGCCTTCGTAAACTATGCAGCTTCTTGCCGTCGAGAAGACGAGAAGTACGTGCTTGGAAATCTACTAACAATCAGAAAAGACAATCACGCTTATTTCATTTTCACGACACTACGACAAACCCAGATTCGAAGCGCTGTAAAGCTCAAGATCGGAAGACTTTTCTACACCTTTCTATCCCCAGATGAGGCTCAACTACTAACTGCACGTTTCCGCCCTGTTTTCTTTTTCCAGAAACCCCAAAAACATTTTTCCGCTGACTTTTCTAATTTCCGGACTTGCACCGGTTCACACCCCCGGAGATAACCGCCTTTATGAAGCGCCCCGTTTGATGACCCGACGCGCTGTGGGGCGCGTAAAAATTCATAAAAGACGTAGCGGCCCATATAAAATCACCCCCGGCGCTTCGATAAGGGCTTACGGCGCCGCGGGTTCTCGATCCGTCAGCCAGACGATCCGCGCTTTTTGGTTATGTGGCTGCAGCTTGTGTCGGGCAAGTTTTAAGATTTTCGAAGGATAGAAAATTGTAAGGGTTGAAAAAACTGTTAATCTAAAAACTTATATACGCTGATAATCTGCTGTTTTAGGCGCTTTTACAGGTGCCGTGATTGTGTACGGGCTCGTGAAATTCTTGCTCACGCTACGGCTACCAAATTCTCATCGCAAGACGGTAGCAATTTCTGGTGAGTGATATAAACTAAATTTAACAACGTTATTCCTTTAAAAAGTTCAAGATCATTTTAAATTACATAATTTTAGGTTGCGACTCGGGCTTCGGCCAGCTACTCGCGCTACGTCTGAATTCTCTAGGCGTACCGGTTGTTGCTGGGTGTTATTCGGAAAAGGTATGGGGGGAAAACGGTCAAGATTTTCTCAATGTTAAAAACTAACAAAACCAGTATTTAGGGCGAAGAAGAGCTCAAAAACAAAGCTTCAAAAGCCAAAATCCTCTACACCCATCCGCTAGATGTTACGGACAATGAGAGCGTGACGAAATTCTCGGATTTCGTTCGAAAAGTGACCGGGGGACGAGGTAGGGAGCAGCAGGGATGGAAAATGAAAACAAAAACCACTTTAGGACTTTGGGGAATCGTGTGCAACGCAGGAATCCTGGGAAATTCGGGTCCGGACGATTGGCTGAATGCTGAGGATTACATGAAGGTATCTAAACCGTTAAAACGTAACGATAGGGTCAAAATATATATTAAAAAGGATTGACGCTTCTAGACTTTCGTCCAATCAAAACAATTCTAGACAATGTCGGTCAACACGTTCGGCGTGATGCGCTTCGTACAACACCTTAGGAAATTTGTCAAGGTATTTTTTCTAAAGAATTAACGCCATCTAGAATTCATAATTTCTATAAAAAAAACTTCTAGATTCAACAAGGCCGCATCGTCATTATTTCCTCCATTTCTGGCCGTACTCCTAGACCTACAGTTGGGCCGTATTGCGTTTCCAAACATGCCGTCGAAGCTTACGCTGATGTTATCAGGTAAAGATAAATCCGTAGTAAAAGGTAGTTGCTGACGGTCTGATTTCATACCTAGACCTAAAACCTCTACTTCTTAACGCCTGGACCTCGGGGAAACCCCCCCCCCGCCATCGCTCGTCTTGAACTCAAGAATTCCAGACACGAGATGTGCGACTTTGGCGTGTCAGTGCATATTTTGGAGCCCGGCTTCTTCACCACGAACATCACTCAGACGGCCACCAACGATTTGGATAGGGTTCGTGATGGATTGGGTGATTAAATTAAAGTGAAGCGGAAGTCAGGTTTAGGGAGAAAAATGGAAGGGCAACGGAAATTAGATAAAACAAAAAGAAGGTAATGCTTTAAATAAAGGGGGTTTGTTCGGAATCAAAAATTGTACAAAAAAAACGTTAGTAAGAGACAAGAAAATCTAGAAAAGCTACAAGAAATGTTAAATGTGAATTAGTTCTAGGTGTGGACCCGCCTTGACGACGAGCAGCGCCACGAATTTGGCCGCGATTTCTTTGACAAATGTGAGTTGCGCAACGGTTGGGCAATACTATGCGGCTAGACAAGGATCAAGGAGGGGCAGATCAAGGTCCAAACCATGGCTGTCTGAAAATAAAGAAAATAGCTAACCCTATTCAAATACAACTTTTCAGACAAGCACTCACGCTTTTCACGTCTTTCTCACTGCTCGGATGACCTGGACTCCGTTGTGGACGCCTATGAACACGCGCTGCTTGCGAGGTAAAGCTTCTCCAATATGCACGTTCGGTCAAAAAGTTTCAACCTTAAACCGAGTTTTAAAAAACTTAGAAGACCCACTCAAATTGAATTGGGGAACTAGAGCCATTTTGTGCCACTATAAAATCGGAAATACTTTTAAAATATGGTTTTGTAGGTTCCCAAAAACGCGCTACTGGGTCGGATGGGACACCATCTTCTTTTACATCCCACTCGCCACTCTGCCCACTTTTCTACAAGACTGGGTCATCCATTTCCAGCGCCGTGGCCGCCCGATGCCGCTGGCCACCAAGACCCCCTAGAGAACGACAGCTAGCTCTAATAAAGCAGTACTTTTGTGCTTTGATTGCTACTGCAAAATTGTTTTTAGCATTTTATAGATCATCGAAATTCTAGTCAACCCAAAATTCAAAAAACGAACACGGAACTTCAAAATACCACAGCCCGAGAAATAAGTGACAAAAGCCAAATTGCGAAAAATGAGAGATAAGTTAGATCACAGTATAATGCAGAGAAATTGAGAAGAAGCCCAAGTAAAAAAAAACCGTTATTCGAATTTGACGTCCCGCATCACTTCGCGCTCCTCGTAGACGTGTTGCCGGGTAAACGCGCTCGCGGTCGACGCGGCGAACCCGATTCCTAAAAACCATGAAAAGCGGAAAGGGTGAACTCTTACCTAGAAGACAAGCAAAAATAACGTCGTTGAGATGGTGTCGGTTGTCGGTGATTCGGGTGACCAAGATGAAGATGGTCCTAAAGTTACACTATATCAAAAATGGTGTAGAAGGAGCTTACCATGCATTCACGAGGGCCGCCATCACAGCGCATGCCACTTGAATTGGTCTCGAATACCCGGCCCGCGCCATTCTTGCAAAGTAAATTGTAAGGTAGACGGCGTGGAACGAGGCAGCGGCAGAGTGTCCGGATGGAAATGATGACCTTGCGTTCCTCACCTTTTCCAGGTCACCCGTACAATAAGCGTCTAGAACTACATAAGCAAAATGTTCCAGAAAACTCACTAGGCACATACGCGTTCGACACAAAGCAGTCGATTTTCGACCAGTCCGGGGCGCAGACTTCGAGGAAATATGGCCGCAGCGTCCCGAAGGTGGCTTTGAAGAACTGGGAGCAAAAAATCTAGAAAAAAAAAGAAATTTTTACCTCCATGACCGAGATGCAAGCGCTGAAGCCGATGATGAACTTCAGATATTCGAACGTTGTTGCCCGAATCCATTTCGGGAACAAATTGATCCCCTTGGCTGTTTGGAAGAGGAGAGCTTCGGTGATAGCTAAAAAGAAGTAATTAGGTCGCTTGCGAGGCATTACCGATCAAAACCGGGGCGGAACCAATGATCCCGATGATCAGCAACTTTGGTGATACTGTGTTTGGCTTCCACGCCATTCGTATTGATTCGTCATTGCAGTAGAAGCCAAGTTCTCGGGGATTGAGGAAGTAGCTGTAAAACCTTTGTTCGTTATGGAGAACCGAACTAACCCTTTGAAAGTCTTGTAGACCGTGTAGCCGACGACGGTCGATAGGGCAACATCAACGGCAGCCAGCAGTCCACCGACCAAGAGGACGTTCTTCCATTCTCGGAAGGCTTCTTCACGACTTAAATAACGCCCGGAAAATGTTATCCGCCGAAATGGCATGCTGAAATCGGAAATACACCTGTACAGTTTCGTGTTCCGATCAACTTCCACGCTTTGATATCAATAAAAGTATCTAGAGATATATCGGAGATAACGAAGGTCTATGCGTATTCAGCCAGTTCCGGTTAAACATCTTTATTAAAAACATCACGAATTCACCACCAACCCAAAAAAGACCCGATGCTAGAAGAGAAAGAAAAAGCGAGAAGAGAGCATGGAGAGCAAAACACCCGAATAAAACAAAGAAGCTCCAAATGGCTAGCGACCAGACCAAGACTATATTCAACGAAAAGAGTTATACAGGCTTATGTGCACGGTGGTAGTAACGCTGGGCGAGGCAATTGATAATCGACAGCGAGAAGAGGAGGATGGCACCGGTAACGATCAGCTGAAGCCCGTTCTGCACCCAGCCGGCCTTCTAAAAGCAGAATTATAAAAGTAAACAGTTCCGTAAATTTACCGGGCTTTGGTGATCCTTATTGCCGTGAAGGGCCTGCCGCTGCTGGGTCAGGAATTCCTTGAAAGGCTCGCGCAACTAAAATCATATTTTGAAAAGCGGGAATCCAAAAGACCTTATGCCCGATGCGAGGGATTTGGGCTACAACTTGGAGAAGTCGATCGGCGTAGTGCTCGGAGAAAGCGACGATGACGAACAGCATCTGGACGTGCATCTTGATGATTGACTTGCCGATGAGGGTGGCGGTGAAGAAGGACCAGAACGGGACGAGGAAGTGGCCTGAAAAATATCTGCTTCCTTACTCAATTAATATTTTCAATGGAGTACACGATAATTTTCTGAAATTTACCGCAAGTGATCCCCGCCAGATCGAAAAGCGGATTCGGGATCGAAGCAAACAGCAGGATCCCCGGGAAGCCGACCTGCGTCACCGTCGCCTCAATCCAAAGCTTCACGCGATCCGTAAAGGTCTGAAGAATTTTTTTATGAAAATAGATAAAATATTACTATTTGCTTCTTGGCCTTCCCACGCAGTGCGCGCTTCCACGCCTTGTAATCTTCATCATCCGGCTCTTGCCCTCCTAGACGTGCAGCACGAGCCATGAAATAAGGCGGCAGTTCGCCAAGGGCCGTCCCGATCCCCCAGAGTAGAGCCTCCACCCGGACCTAATTATAATCTTTTTCTGAGCACGTCAAAAAAATCACCTTTGAAACAATTGCCCAGAGGTTCACCGCGGAGCTGGCACGCTGGTCGGGGCAGACGATGCTAAAACATCGCTTATTAAAACACACAATAAAAAATTTTGTTACCTTTCAGGATACGGCGGTTCGGGGAAGTTCAGACTTTCGCATTCGTAGGCCGCCAGCGTAACTGCCGCGATGTGAGGGCCCTGAAAAACTCACTACAACAGAATCATAATTTATACCAAGTACAAAATGAAGGTGTGCAGCCCGGAGCCGAGCCCTATTGAGGAGAGAATGCCAAGCCCGACCCACCACAGCCACCTAAAACAAATTATACGAAAAAATTTTACTCCAACCATAACAGCTTCTTCTCAGCAAATTGAACGTAGGGCTGATGATCGCCCGGCAAAAGGTAGATGTAGTAGCTGACCGCTGACAGGATCGATAGTAAGAAGAGCAACAGCTTGGATCGGGCCATCCTAAAATACCAAAATGAATTGGAAAAAGTGTGCTTACAATCGCAAAAATTCGGTGCCCAGGTGAACGAGTTCAAGAACGGCGTAGTAGAGGGTTGAAAGTGGACGTTGCCAGATGACCATCCCCTCGCAGTCCATAAGATGCAACGTCATTGCCGATGGCTCGCGCTTCATATTCTTCGGCTCTGGCTTGAGTGGAGGGCTAAAAAACAATTCCACACTAAGTAAGTAAGCGACCTGTCCTTTACAATCTTCCCGGCCGCCGCCTTCTGTAACACTGTCCGCGTATTCGACGACATTTTCGTCGCGGCCACCTTGCGGCGGGGCATTGCACTAAAAACGATTCACAAAAGCCGAAAAGGTTTTCTCAGAATGACGAATAATAACGGTTAGGAGCGGGACGGTAATCGGGAACCCATTTATTGTACAGAAATGTCAAGCAAAAATCAATGGCAATGCTAGCAGAAAAACAGAGAAAATGGATGGCTACAAGCCGTGAAAGAAAAAAAATATCCTAAACCAGAGATCGGTACATCATAAATGCGTGGAAAGAGTGGAAAGTACAAGGTATAACACATGTGATTTAGAAGAAAACCGGAATATTTTCGATGGCTTGCAGAATTGTTCGGACTCGCGTGGGCTTGTCGGAAGTTTCGTCAGGCTTCTCGTCAATCTCTTCAACCTGCGCGGTCTCAGCAGCTTCTCTTTGCTTGCGTTTGTTCGCCTAAAATTGCCTTAAAGCAAAAAAACCCGAGGAAACATACCTGAATCTTCTTCATCCTGAAAAACTCTTCCCGTTCCATCTCGTCGAGCTCGGTGACGATATAGCTGAGCGTGTTTTCGAGCCGCGGGATGATCACATGCTGGATGGCGTTCACTCGTCGATTTGTTACCTAAATTGGAATGTAGAAGTGACATATGTCCCTGGTTTCCGCATAGCTTTTCGAAATTAGAATTACAAATCGAATTCCGGAAGTGAAAAACGGGAAAAAAGTTCAAAGCCGCTCAGTACCTTGATGGCCTCGTCGAGCTTCACAAAGGAAGTCTGCAGCCCCGCCAGCTCGACCAGCAGCTCGATGACTTGCGCATATTTCGCTTTGGCCGCCGAAATCTTCGCTCCACCTAATCCAAAAATTCTGGCAAATCAAAAATTGTTACCTTTTCCGAGCCCGGTGAGCATGTAGCGGTCAGCGCCCGACTTCTCGACCTTGCACACCGGAAGCACGACGCCGACGACGTTCTCGGTGGTGTATTGGACCCGGTAGCGGGCCGTGGCGACGTTTTGGATGACCGTCTGTGAGAAGTCGCCGGCTCGATTCTTGGCTTCGGCGAGGGAGAAGCGCGCATCATCCATTACATCACCGTAAACGGCCATCTTTGCCTAAAAAGGGAAATGATCAAAGAACCTTCAGAAAACAGCCAAAATTCAAAAAAATCACCTCCACAATCTGCCGAAGCACCTCGCGGAAACGCAGATTCAGCGCGTCCGACTTCTTCTTCAGCAGCGAGTGGCCCTTGTGCGCTCCTTTCAGTCGTGTTGTCATCAATGTCTGGGCCCTAAAAATGAAGTTGTTGAAAATTTTGGGGAGCTTACATGCGCGACGGGAAGACAGCAATCCGGTCCTTGCTACCGGTCGACATTGCGCTGATTCGGATTACCTAAAATGAGTTTGTATTAATTGAGGAAAAGTGGGAAAGATCAAGAAAATTGTGTTTTTTTTTTTGTTGAAAAAATCGGCTGGGAGAAGCTACGCACTTTCCTATCGACGCTTTTCGTAATGTGTATAACGCGTACCGCCCAAATGAATAAACCTAAATTTATTTATTTCCTAGCTAAAAATCTCCTAATAATCTCCTAAAATCACAACCGATGCTGGCAAAAATGATTTTGGCACATGACTATGGCAAGTTGGGCGGGCAAGGTAAGGCACGAGGTAATTTTGAGCAAAGAAGAATAATAGAGTGTAAAATTGGTTCAAATAGTACAAAAAAATGATTCCAAACAAAGTTAAGCCAGTGTGACTCTTTGACCAGCTTTAAATTCAGCGATTTGCTCTCTTTTGTCTTTCGGGCGAGATTCTTCGAACGTTGCTAGTATATCGTGCCTCGTGATCGGAGTATCTTCGCCTGAAACTTGTTTTTCCATTGTTTTACTGATAGCGTTGACTTTCTCTTCTATTTTTTCCCAAGTTCTACCTGGGTTCTTCCTGCTTGCTAGGAAATGCGCATTCAGCATCCATGCATTCAAGTCAGCGCCCGTCCAACCCTCGCTCATATGGGCCAGCTTTTTCAAATCAAATTCACCCTGGCGTTCGATTTTCTTTAGAACGATTTCCAGGATTTCTTCGCGGTCCTCCTAAAATCATTTTGCATAGTTTTAATCTTTCTGCACGTTTTTCGAATCTTTCTAGTGCCAAAGCCTTAATTTTTTTTGTGTTTCTTACCTCATTCGGCGCGTCACACACTAATTTGTGGTCAAAGCGCCCTGGTCTCAACAGCGCCGGGTCGATCAGATCGACTCGCGATGTGCAGCCAAGCACGAAAACGCCTAAAACGACTCCCTAGAATAGATTCTTTATCAGGTTTTTCTTACCATTCAAACCCTCGGCTCCATCCATCTCTGTCAATAGTTGATTTACAACTCGATCCGTAACTCCAGTACTATCAGCTCCTCTTCTAGGCGCCAATGAGTCGAGCTCGTCAAAAAGTAGAACACAGGGAGCACTGGCTCGGGCTCTAGAATTTATTTTGAAACTCAATTTTGTAAAGTACCTAGCAAAAGCATTTCTCACATTCTCCTCGCTGCTCCCAATGTATTTCGATAGCAATTCTGGGCCCTAAGACGTCAAAATTTTCTTTAGTTTTACTTAAATTTCCAACTTACCTTGATAAAAATTGTCTGGAATTTAGTGTGGGCTGCAAAGGCTTTTGCCAAAATTGTTTTTCCGCATCCAGACGGCCCGCAAAGAAGCACGCCTCGTCCCATTCTCACTCCACACCTTGCAAAGAGATTAGGGTACTAAAAATTCTTTTTTTTCTGAAAGGTTTGAAACTAACCATCCCGGGCCAAAGCAAAAGCTCCTCCAGCGTCTTTTTCTGTTCTTTCATTCCCCCGACTTCATCGAGTCGAATCTCCACTTGTGTCTCCAATTGCTTCGTGCTCAACGGCCTCGAATTTTCAAGTCCATTCTCCAAGTCGGCTTCATTGCAGAGTTTGGCTCCTGGAAAAACGGATTAATTTTGTCGTACTTGGAACTGACGACGTTTTCAAAACGGCATCATAGACCTTTTCTTTTATCGAATTTTCAAACAGTTTCCTTCCTCGAATCGCAAAATTCTCGAGTGACTTCCGTTGCGCGCGAATCTCTAATGGCCATTTTTGTGGGCTGTACAAAAGCGACAAACTTTTGAATTCTAAAATTTATTTTCGCAGGTTTTTCTGCAGTTTTGATATATGTCTGAGGCCCCCAGACGTTACATAGACTTTTTACGGAATTTTTTTCTTGTTTTTCCAACTTCTGGCACGCCCTTTTATCTGGTCAAAATCTAAATTTTCGAGCATTGTACCCAGCGCGTGGAAAATCCAGGAAACCTCTGAAAACTAAGGAATAGAAATAGGGTATTTACAAGAACATTTCTGCACCTCTTATCGCTGTAGCGATCTGTACCCGACGGGCGAGGCGCTCGAGCTCGGCCACCGTGAATCCCTCCGTTTTCTTGGCCACGCCCTCCAAGGGCACCTCCGAGTGGAGGAAAGCCGACAGCACCTCGAGACGGTCATTCTGCAAGGAGTATTAAAGTGTACTCTGTTTGGTGATTTGACTGATTTTTATGCCGCGCATTCGTTTCTTATCCTGTTTTACTTTCAGGTTGTAGTTTGTAGGATAATCTCGGAATCAGTAGGGTGAGAGAGAGCGAAGAGAGAGAGAGAGAGAGAGAGAGAGAGAGAGAGAGAGAGAGAGAGAGGGAGATTATAGCGTCGAAATAATGAAGTCCACAAAATTTTTATGGTAGCTTTTCGCCTGTGGTTGGCAAAGAGAGTTAATAAATAGTATACTCCGCCAACCACCCCGGGTGGTACCACCCCTAGGGGTGGTTGGAGGGTGGGGCGGGGGGTGGTTGGGGGGTAGTCGGGGGGGTGGTTGGGGGGGTGGTTGGGGGGTGGTCAATGCATTAGCCACCCCACCCCACCCCTTACAAAATTTTTTCATGATCTGGCAATAAAACTTTTTGGTCTTCCGGCTACATTGTCTTTGAGGGACCATATCTGACTCGAACAAGCTTTTATTGCCAAATCATGAAAAAAATTTGTAAGGGGTGGGGTGGGGTGGCTAATGCATTGACCACCCCCCAACCACCCCAACCACCCCTGACCACCCCCCAACCACCCCCCACGACCACCCCCCAACCACCCCCCGCCCCACCCTCCAACCACCCCTAGGGGTGGTACCACCCGGGGTGGTTGGCGAAGTATAATAAATAGTATTGAATCTTCGAAAATCTTAGATTTTTCCGCAAAAAAAACGAAATAGTCAAAAATTTCAAAATTTTACATTTTTATGATATTTTAGGGTTTTATAGTAATTAAGAACTTCAAAAACCACTATGAGAAGTAGTTTCGCTCCATAGTTTTCTCTCCCCCCCCCGCTAACAGTCCAGAACCGAGGGAACGACCTATAAAACTTAATTTTCCAAGGTGTAGTTATCCTACTATATATAAAAAAATAGTGTCTGTGTGTGTGCATTTGAATGCAACTTCCGTCCGGCTGTTCCACACGTATCGGGTCAGGGCATGACTGCCGACCTACCAGATTTTACAAAAAATGCTATTTTCGATATTAAATTGTAGATTTTCGCTAAAATTCGGACACCACTTTGTTAAACAAGAATTTGCATTCGCCGGAAGTGGTTGACGCCTATATAAGCCAGCAAAGGAGATCGTTTTCATTTTTTGCCAAGCGGATTTGGCCGGAACTATCCAAATGGAGACCGTTTGGGGATCGGGAGGGGCCAGGGTTGAAAAGCCGCGAAGCGGTTTTTCAACCCTGGTCACTGTTATTGTTATATTACAACCCTTGGCGCTTCTATCTCCTTTTTTATTATGCGCCGAAATCCGAAATCCCGAAAGCTCCTCCCTCATTTTCCACGTCCATCCTACTTACACCCTCCCCCACCTTTCAAAACGACAGCCGACGATGCCAAAGTGTGCCATCTGCAGATGGGAAAAAGAAAGCCGGGCAAATTTTGCGAGGTGAGCGGCTCGAACCTGTTCCTCCTCTTATCCCCCTTCAGCCCCACCCGACTCGACTGCCCGCTACAACCACCATTCCTCCAATTAAATCCACCACAGCAGCAGCGACCAGCCGCTGCCCATCGGCATACAACTAGAAAGAAGACAACCCCAAAAACTCACAGCTGACTACTGGGGGCCTGCCGAATTCTATAGTTCTCTGGAAGCCTGGCAATTCTTACGGCTGCAAGTGGCTATAATTATACCTAGTTTCTACGTCATCTTTGGCATTTTTAAGGGTTGTAGCATGTCAAAATTCTCGAATGGTTGCTTCTTATTGCACACTGGAGCTTCGCGTAGTCCAAGCCAGTTGCTGCGCTATTTTTGACATTTGGTCTGTTACTTTGCATTAACGACTTTAAAACAAATATCGTAAAGATGGCTACGATGCGCTACGCTGTACACGGGTAATCAGTGCGCTTCTTGCATTTCCTCCGAAATTTTAGGCGTTTCAAAAGTTACTTTCACTTTAAACATTTTTCGAAGAAATCTAAGTTTTTTTTTTGGCGTAGTTTTGACTAATAAGATATTGCGCATTACCTTCTTTACAACACGTTTACCTAGCGGAACTTTTTGGGCGTTCTCCGACTTTTCTATAGCAACTTTTTCCGCATCGTTCCCATAGTAACAAGTTACGAACAACACCTGGCGTGCAGGTAGCAAAAAATCTTTCCCGAAAAACACTTGACAAAATATTCAGTTCAACACCCAATTTACCGTGCGATTTTAACCCCCGAGCATGGGGCCAGTTTAGCCTTGAACCAGCCGATCCCCGCGACAGCCCCCCAGAGATCAGCGCAACGTTGCATAGGCGGGTGTGCTGACGCGAGCTTGGCGAGTTCTTAGGATTTTTTGAGGTTCGTGCTACTACGATTTTTCGTTTTTTGAGATTGGCTACGGAGATTTTAGGAGTAGACTCTACAGCATGGCGACTTTAATTATAACTTCGTTTAACTAGAATTGTATTCTCGGCACTACTTCGGATGAATTCTTATGCGCTTACTATTAATTTTAGCTTTTCGATACCCTAAAAATATTAAGTTAATACGCCACGTGTGCCTTTTCCTAATTCGAGCGGATCAGCCTAGGGGCGTGACCTTGCGGCGACTGGTCCCATCCAGCAGCTAGTCGCGCTCTTCTACGCTCGGTCTAGACATAGACTCAAGACTTCCCTATCTCGCTAGAACAGCAAACCAAGGCTATTTACATATTAATGCATACTTTATACCTTAACCGCAAAAATACGGAAAAAAACCAGTTTCCTAGCCAAAAATTTTACCTGTTTTGGATAAGAATTTGGACATTTTTACGTCATTTAACGCTTGATTGCGCCATTAACGGACGCTACGGGCAAAAAAGAGAGCTCAAATTTTAAATTTTTTTACTGAAAGTTTTTGATACATCGCTGAACCTTCGCCTGTATTCGCTAAGTTGATTTGGACCGGCTTTTCCTTGCAAAAATCAGATTTTTGGAAATTTCAAAAATTCCCTGCCTTTCTAAAATTTCAATGTCACGTTAAAAAATTGCTCCAATTCCTCCGGTCTACCCATAATAGTGCGCCAATAATCGCTGGGTGCGGACCGGGTGGCCCGAAACGATTGCCTGCAGGGCTCCGAAACGGGGTCACATCGCTCGCTACGCGCCACCCCCTCAATCTCGTGCACTACCTTTCACTCTTGCTCTCTCTCTCTCTCTCTCTCTCTCTCTCTCTCTCTCCCTCTCTCTCTCTCTCCAGTCTACAACCCCTAAAAGTGTTGAGCTGATTCGTTTTCGCCACCCCTGGGATTTACACAGGGGATCAGCCTAGGCTAGCGAGATATGGGCAGTTTTGTCACGTTGATCTGGTGGCCTATTTTTTATCTGTGTCATACTTTAATTTAAAACTTTTCCTACTGTAACCCGTTTGTATTTTAGAATGACCAAAGGACCGGCAAACCCATTTGGGCATCCGCTTTCTAAGGATGCAAAAAGCTTGGTGAACGACGTGAGACTAAAGCTGTCGCAGCCGATCCATCCTAAGGTTCGGCATTTTTCGATTTTTTTAGTTTAAATACGTTAATTCCTAACTATAATCGCTTCAATGTTAAATTTTATAGGGTTTCTAATCTTTTTATAGAACAAAAACATACTTAAACTTGCAAAATCCCTAAATTAAGAGCTTCTCAATCCACTTTATAGTTTGACACCGACTTCAACGTATACCGCTTTGTCCTGGCCTCCGAGCGACATCACAAAAAAGAAAAGGACATTGTCGACGCTGCCGCAAAAGCCTTGAACAATCATTTACGATTCAGAAAAGCGTTGGGATTGGTAGTTCCGAGGCTACAAACTACAACGCCGACTAAAATTCTAGGACACTGAAGACGTTGTCTCGTTCGATGAAAACCCAATTTTCACCAAGCGCCTAATGCCAAAAGGGGAGCTGCTTGATGTGACGGATTCTAGCAATCGATTGCTGTGGTATATCGACTACGCTTCGATTACGGTTGAGGTAGGTTAAAGGAATGGGCAAGGCAGAGTTATGGATTTTTGGCTAAAAACTAGCTTTTAGTCTATCGCTCACACCATCCCCAGCTCGTTTACCTGTAAATGCCAGTTCTGGCAATTTGAGCAAATGTTGAGGAAAGTGATGGCACATGTAAGCTTTATTTTTCTCGATTTCTCTCTCTGGCTCGCTCCTATCTCTCTTTCTCTCTTTCCATCGCTCTTTCTCTCACTACCTCTCACTCATGCTCTCTCGCTCTCTCTCTCGCTCTCTCGCTCTCTACCTCTCACACACACTCTCTCTCACTCTCTCTCCCTTAATTTACACACATTTTTAGGAAGAAAAAACGGGCAAGTTCAGCTCATTGCGCCACATTATCGACCTGAGCGGCTACGACTTGAACCCATTCACGATGTTGTTCTTGAGCAGCGGAACGATGGCCTATTATACCCAGCTGTTCCACTTTGAGCACTACCCGGAGCTGGTAGGTATTTGGATCTCATTACGGCATGAAAATCGGGGCCTTAACTCGACTTCAAAGAAAATTCAAACCACAAAATTCTACCGTAACGCTACGACTTCTAGGTATCTCCCTGCGAGACGGTGAACATCCCCAGTTGGGTGCACATGCCGTATCGGCTAATCAAGGGCATGATGCCGGCCGGTTTCACCGACCGCTTCAAGCTGTACGACAAGAAATTTTTGGAGATCCTCCAGGAGGAGATCAACATTAAGCATATTCCGACTACGTTGGGTGGAGAGAATCAGGTACGGTATATCCATATATCGAAACTATTAGAAGGAATCGGATTGCAAGAGACAAAAGGGGGAGAAGGTGAAAGAGAAAAGAGAGAGAAAGAGAGAGAGAGAGAGAGAGAGAGAGAGAGAGAGAAAAAGAGAGAAATGGAGTGAGAGCCATGCATATCCACTAGAAATGAGAGCTATAGTGCGCGAGAAAGAGCGAGTCAGAGAGGGCACGAGAGAGTGAAAGCGAGCGAAAGAAAGAGAGATAGCTCTAAAAACCGACAATTTTGTAACAAATTTAGGACATCCGCTGCGTCCCTGCCCTCAAAGTCCCGGAAGAAAAATATTGGCAACCTTCTGAAAACGAGATCATCGACCTTCTTGAGAACTTCCACGTCCCCGCCAGAAGATCCCGACACTTTACAGTGGATGCCAAAGAGGGAGAGACTCTCTCGTGGTACTACCGAACTGATGGGGACCTCTATTTTGGGGTGTTTTTCCAGGTATCGCCTCGATTTCCGGATATAGGAAAGTTGTGTTTTAGCCCCACCACGAGGCAAAACCCGAGGATAAAGAGTTGGATCATGAAAACTTCGAACTTGTCTACCCGTTCATAAAAGTGGCCGCGAAACTGGTGCACGAGAGGGATTCTATCAAATGCAATAAGGAGGGGAGGTAGGTATTAGAGGAGAGAGAGAGAGAGAGAGAGGGGGAAAGCCAGAGAGATAGAGAGAAACGAGAGAGAGAGAGAGCGCGAGAGAGTTAGAGCGAGAGAGAGAGAGTCAGCGAGTGAAAGCGACGTTATTAATATTTTTAGATACTTCTTCCTATTCTGCAACAAACACGCATGGCTGTCCAAAAAGACTGCCGACGTAATGTTGACGGTCACAAATTCTGATGGAGAAAGGAGGAGAGTTTTTGCCGATGGAACACACGCCAAATGCGATTTGGTTGTGTAAAATCGGGAGGAGGCGAATAAATTTTAAGATTACTACGCGAAGGAAAAAATGGATTAGGACATGATATATGACTTCGAAAATAGGAAGAATGCGTCAAAATAATTCAAAATTGTCCTACCAATGCCAGGTCGTCAATCATGAGCGTCAGCCCGAAAAAGCGGTTCCCGCCGCCGCCCACCAAAATTGGGTGTATCGAGTGCAGTGATTTGGCGGTGAAGACGAATTGGAAGTGCGCGTTGGATTTTAGGAGGTCACGGAGCACTGAAAAAGGTGAATTTTTGGGTGAAGCTTTGTCTTTAGAGTAGCGTAAATGGTAAAGCAAGAATGAAATCGGCTGTTCCCACAAAGAACCTCTGCTAGCTTGCCTATTGAAGCGTCGATATTTTTTAGCCTTTTCAGGTCAATTGTGACCAAAACAGCGCAATTAGTACAACGAACGAACAAAATACAGAATTCTTGGCTCGTTGTTGCAGCATAACCGGAAATCAGAAGGACCTATCAAACATTGGCCGAGTTTCGCAAAGAATCTCTGCTAGCCTGCCCAGTGGCGTTTAACTTTTTTGAAATTTTCAATGCTCTCTGCGTTCAACTGTTTACGTACGCTCTGTACTAAAAATAAACACCCGAAATGACCTTGATAAGGGCTCATTCGAGAGCATTTTCACCCGGATGTTAAGCTTTGCCAATGAATGTGAAATACAACCAAACGGGGCAAGCTTTTAAGAATTTCTCTTTTCGATGCTTTGATGCACTTACGGTGCCTGACTTGACGATACCTTTAAAAAGCCTTAATCAAAAAAAACCTACTCATAAAGATCCTTTCGATCTGCAGCATTCTATGCTCTTCATCACGATTCGACTGGGCAATCAAATCGATTCCATCAAGAAATATAATCGCTGGACTCCGGATCGTACACATCTCCATCTCGTGCAACAGCTGCTTTTTCAGCTTCTCGGCTTGTTTCCCTAAAAGTTGATGTTTTTTACCGTAACCTTAAGTACTTACCTTTTAAGGCAGAACATTCCAATCGCCTGGAAAAGATCACTTTCGATGACTGCGCCAACTTTTTGGCCAAAATCTCGAGCAGTGAGCTTCTGCCCGATCCGGAAGGGCCGAGAATCAGCAAGTGGTTAGAGGTCAAATCCTAACAATGGACTTTACTACCGTAGTCTTGTAATCACCGCCTTTCCTCCCCAGCCAAAGTTCAGCCACGATTCGATCGACTCGATCAGCTTGTTTTGAAAACTGAAAAAATTGCATGTTTGCGCAAACGGCTAAAACCTGAACTCCTTCAACTTGTGCCTGGCCTCGAAGCCAAAATTGATGACTCGTTCTTCTGCTGGGGTAGAATGTTCAGCAGAGGATTTCTAAACGTATATAGATTTTACAAAATTATTAATTTAAAGTACATGAATTTTAACAAAACTTTAATACCTGAAAAATTGGCCTTGTATTCTCGGTCACCCGGAAGCAAAAATTCTTGCCGTTATGCGGATTTTCGGATAACTCCTTAAAGGTGGGGCAGAGCAGGAGCGATAGAGTGGTGCCTAGAACGTGGTTGCTTTTGGTAATGTTTTAGCATCTAAATATACCGCAACAATCTGGAAAAACAACAAACTACAGACCTTCCACAACTACTCGAACGGTTGCTCCCTGATTTCCAAGTAACAAGGCAGAATCTGAAGCCAATCTCCTGACTTCGCGATCCAGGCTTATGCACAGCGGATCGCCGAGTTCGACTAGACGATTGGATACCTAGGAAAAGGCGTTTTAAAGAGACTGGGAAGGCTTAGAATCAACCTCTTTCACCTAGGTCTCGATAGCTACACGTCGCGCGGAATGGTATAAAAAAAACAGGTTTTCTGCTCTAACGTCTTTCCAAGCTACTTTTTGCCTGTAAATTGGCGCTATGTATAGTTGTCGAGATCTATCGAACGAAACGGTCTATTCTCTCGATTTCTAGCTCTTTTAAAGGCAATTAAACTCAGAAACAGACAAAAATAATACGTACCTCCTCATCCAAGCAGACTTCAACTTCACGCAAGCTTCTGACTCGATTTCTCTCCAATCTCTTCACAACTAGCCGTTCATACCCGGAAAGTGGAGAGCCGGACGAGACTAGGCAATGACCGGGATGAGCCTGAACAACGACGTTTTGAGAGGGTAAAAAACCTTCAATATTTTTAAAGTCGCGGTAAGAGTCTAAAATACCTACATTTAACAACTCCTGCAACTTGCTCAACTTTTCGTCCTGTTGCGCCGAATGCGACATCAAATGAAGCCTGGCAAACACTTCCGGACAGGCCGGACGTAGTGTCCTGATCGCGACGTAGAGGATACTGCCATAGGGTTGAGATTTGTCCAAAATTACGACGTCAACAGAAATTTTACAGAGCCATACCTGGATTCATGGTATAAACATCATTAAACTGTAGCAGATCTACGAGTCCTTTGTGGAGATCTTTTGGGAGGACTCGCAGTTTTTGAGGTAGATTCACGTCTTCGAAATAGTCCTCAGAAGCCGCAGAGGTTCCGGCTTTGTCGAGTTCGGTGAATATCTGGAAGTGCAACGTTTTCTTACTGCTCTCCCTCTCTCTCTCTCTCTGTCTCTCTCTCCCTCTCTCTCTCTCTCTCTCTTTGTCTAACACCTACTCACCTTGCTAAATTGGGCCTCGCTGTTCCGCTTCTCCTCCCGGTTGGACTGCTTGATGAAGCCGTTGGCCACAGGTGCTACGTGAAGCTCCGTATGTGCGGAAAGCAAGACAGGCTTGGTCGTTTCCGGATGGATTTTGACTGCAATTTACATATTTAGACAAGCAACGATCATTTATCGGGTGTCACACTCCCTTCAAAACAACCAAAAAAAACCCAGGCTTTATTGAAATTGTATTACAATTGGATTATGACTTTGATGAGCGGAAAAACGCATTCCAGAATTGTTAGGATTTTTGTTTTGACGTCCTCTAACCTACAGTCTACAACTTTGTACAGGGTTACGGTACCCCAGAAGAAGGCTAAAAACAGGTGGAAGCGATACGTTAATGACTGACCAATTTTAAAAAGCACCGGCCGGCCACCACTTGCAAAGAATGGGATCACCATTCCCTGCGAGACCAGTCGGCATTGGTTCAGAAAGGTGCCCTCGATCTCGTAGGTGTTGGCTTCCTGAAATTAAGGTAACTTCGTTATCGGAAAAGCACAGAGCTCTCAAAATGACTCAAAAGCGACAGTTTAAACTTACAATAACTTGAAAATCCTCCGCTGAAAGGGGCGCGATTTCCACGGCATCGCAGGTGGTCGGCTCGACGCTTTCGATTAGGGCCTAGATTCTTTATTTATTTGTAGACCATTTAAAGTTGTTCAGGTGAGGTTCAAGAGGGTAGTTTACCCCTTGCCTGTGGTTCTATCAAATGATTCCTTAAATGTATCGAAAAATAGCTTGCCGATCGAATTTTCATAGTTGGTTTTTGTTTTGCTTTAACTTTTAAATTACATGATTTTGCACCCTTGCTCGTTTTAAGGTTTACAGTTCTTTAGGTTGAATTTAAAGCTCAATAAGCTGCAGCTCACCTCCTCATTATCCGAAAACCCGGCAAATTCCATCGATCTCGCGTTGAGTAGCACATATTGAAATCGCTCCGGGCCGCTGAGCTGCACGAAAAGCTTCCGATTCGGGTCCTCACAAGATCGCACGAGAACGCATCGAGGGTTTGAGGTTAACTGAATTAATGCACGGAATATTTGGCTTAAAAAAGCATCTTAAAGAATCTCTGCTAGCTTGCCAAAGGCGAAAAACCGGGTCTTTTTACTTACCGGAGGCTGCTTCTTCAAATTAACCGTTCCATCCAAGTCTGCTGTCGTCGCAAAAGCAAAAGAATTCGGCCAGTTATGTTCTTTGACAAAGCACGGGACTCTGGACGACATTTACCCTGAATTTCGTGGTTTTTAGAGCTTTTAGAGGCAGAAAAAGTTGTACATTTCAAAGGATCCAAACTATAAAACGTGTAGTAACATTTAAATATCCACGACAAATTTCAGGGCTATTAAAAACATAATTTTTTACCTATTTTTTTATTTTTATTGCCTAAAATTATGCTTTTGAAAACGTTAGTGCACAGTTTTCTTATCTAGTCTACTTTGAACGGCGCACTCCTGTTGTTTGTAGCGTGCTGTCAGGGCGCTAAAAAATGAACCAACTCACATTTGGCTTGATTGATATCAAGGGTGGCACTCTGGCGATAAGAAAGAGGTGAAACTATTGTCGTTATTTTGGTTTTTTTCTACTTTACAACTTATAACCTGCCAGCGAGCAGACTACACCCGCCAACTATGGCCGGGGAATAACATGGAGTCATCGGATCCACGGGAAATACAAAGGGTGGTCGGAAAATGTAAAATTACAAATTAACAAAAATGGGTATATTGAAAAATGGCGTAATTTGGAAACCGTCAAAATTTCTTATGGAAAATGACCGGTTACACAAAAAAGCTGCAAGCACGCGAGGCTAGGGTAACAACAAATTTTTAAAATTTTGTTCTACGACGAATTAACGGTTTTTACTGAATTTATTTCTAATTGAAAGTATGCTATGATATTTTCTGTTACTTTTTCTACTGAAGCCCTAACTATATTTTAGCTTTATCGGAAGGCGCCGATGAAATCGTGAAAATTTCGAAAATATGAAAAAAATCACGAGAATTCAACGTTTTGTTTAGTGTGGCTACCTCCCGTTAATGCGCTAAAGTTACTGGTTATCATAGTGGTATAGTCGATATATATCCGGGTTAACTTTCAACAATGCGTATACCCGATTTCGACCTCGTCGCATCTGCTCGTCTGGGCAGAATGACCCCGGCCGCCCCTAAGGATTCAGCAAAGTCCATCGCCATTTCGGAAAACCAATCTTCGATTCGGAAATTCTCAAAAACAACCTCTTTTGCCTTAAAAAACCGCCCTGAAAATTGGTCCTAAAATGGCCCCATCAAATTTCCCCCACGATGCCCTACCCGCTGAATTACGATCCAAGATCCAGCGTCATCTACCCTCTTCCACACGGTTTCTGCTGCGGAGGGTTGCTAAGGTAATTTTGATATTATCGAAATTCATAAGCTACAAAGTTCTAATTATCGATCTAGGCCGATTTGGTTAAGATATCATCTACCTACCTCACAGCCTGTCAAATACCTTTTTATTTCAGTCATTCTCTACGTACCGTCAGATCTTGGACTCTCATTGTGAAAGGCTACAATTGGTGCTGTACGGGGTAAGTTTTCGACGAAGTTTATAGGGATCGTATTAAACTTATATTACTTTATAACTTAAAGTGTCGTATTAACGGTTCTGGAGCTTTTCGAGCTTACTGCCGTAACTTCGAAGGTTTGCAATTCAGTTTTTTTAGGAAATCCAAGAAATCCGCGCGGTTGACCATTCCTTGACACTTCGACGGAAGGGTGAGGAATTGACTCTGAATGTAGAAGGGGAATGGAAGTGAGTTTTTCAATAACCAAATACAGAGAGAGAGAGAGCGAGAGAGAGAGAGCGAGTGAGAGAGAGCACGAAACTCTTCATTTTAGAGCGTTCTTCGAAGGCCACCCGGAAAACCGACTCCAACTCGATACCACGAGAAGCCTCGAATTTTTCAAATCCTTCCTGGCCCGCTTCGATCCACGCCTAATTGGTGTGCACCAGAATTGCAATTTCCGCTTCGTGAGTCTGATAAAAACCCTATATAAAAAACTATAATTTTTTTAGATAGACGCTCTGTCGCGTCTTTCCCTCGAACTGCCCCAGCGACCTCTCGGCTTTTCGGCATGGTTCCACGCTTGTACGGACGCAATCCCGGCTCTCGGCGAATGGATCGACAGCATGAGGAGCCGCTACCCTCCCGTAAGCATTTTTTCGTTGGTATTTAATAAGACGAAAACCCTATATTTAGCCTGTTTTTTTTAAACCATCAACAAAAAAATTCGGGAAATTGTAAAATCTTGGTCATTTGAAAATTTGAAAATTTGAAAATTCAAAATTAAAATCGGTCATTTGTGGTCGCAAATCGCTATTTTTGTATTTTTTTAGTATGAATCAGTAAAGATTGCGGTTAGGAGTAGGAAAAAACAATTTAGCAACATTTCCTCAACTTCTATAAAAAAAACATCGCATTCTAGGTAAAACACGTCTGTTCATTTGTCGATGAAAAAGCGTCTCTAGCGGGTACTGTAGCCATGAGTACGACATGCTACGTACTTACGTACCGTAGATAAATCCAAGAACCCTATATGTATTTTATTTAGGGACTAGGCTGCCGTCTAATCATTGGAATCATGGATCTCCTGCCGCAGCCACATGGCCACTGCGAACCCGGCGAATTTTGTCAGCAGCTTTGCGCGAAGGTAGATATAGTCCGCCTAAAAAATAATTTTATAGCCCATAGCTTGTAGCGTGTAGCTTAAACATATCAAAATATCCATTTAAGATTAACAACGAGCCCTGTGTGCAGCTAAACTTCTGCTACCTCATCAGATCTAGCGATCGATCGATCTGGGACAGGACGGTGGCGCAGTTTGCGATGCTGATTGAGGCGGTGTTGAAAAATGTTGGTAAAATTGCAAACTTTGAAGCTTTCGAAGTCAAAAGTTGATAAGAATGCAGCTTTCAAAGCACAAACGTTGGTAAAATTCAAACTTTTGAAACTTATAACCGTTAATAAAATTCAAGCCTTTGAGGCATAAAATAGTTCGTAAAAATCAAGCTTTTCCATCTTATGAAGGCTAATAAAATTGACGCGTTTGGAACGTCAACAATTAAAAATTTTTGAAGATTTTAAACCTTGTGAATTTCTGAATATGAAAAATAAATAAAATACAAATAAATAACTTTTTTAGCCCCAAACCGATCCCACAGCCAAGCGCATTGTTGCCCTCGAATTCGCTCGGACCACCGATGAGGATTTTGTAAGTATATAATTTCACAAAACACGATTTTTATCTTATTGCAGATTCAGTTCGATATATGCTCGTTTCAGGATCAAATCTCGCTAGACGTTTCCGAGTGCTGGAGGATGGGACGAGCGGCTGTGAAGCTCTTGGAACCACAGATGACTGGTGACTACACAATTTATTGGATGAAGGCTAAGGTAAGTATGATTCTGACATAGCTACGGTGTTCGAAATTCAAAAGCCTATACCGAAAAGAATTCAGTAACCTAAACTGAAATTACATAGGCAAAATTGCAAATTCACTAGGTCGGCCAAACCCCAGTTTGACCTCCACCAGCCGAGATTCTGCTTTCTACAAATTTTAGAATTTTCGATGATCTTTTTCTTAAAAGGACTTAAAACACCATTAAAATGGTTTTGATTTCATCACTCAGCGCTCTGAAAAACAAACCACGTCTCTTTTAAGGTAGGCTTCAAGACGCGAATACCCCCGGACACCGTGGTGTTCGTCGGTCGCCTCGTCATCGCCAAAAATTTCAATGGCAACGCCTCGGTCATTCGACGTGAACTGCACCACCGCCAGCTCGAGGCACGCGCCTGTGAAATGATGCTCCTCAACGGGGAGCCTGTCCGTGAAAACAATACCCTATACGCGCGTGCGCAGCGCTACTTCTTTGATCGCGACGTGGTCGGCTCGATGCTATGTGATACATTCTACGAAAGTTTGTGCGTATTACTGCCCGGCCAGCCGTGCCGATGGTTTGAATAAAGGATTTACCAGCACAATACCGAAAAGCCCGAAATGTCATGAAACCCAATCTTCAAAAACACAATTTCACTACGCCCAATTTTAGTAATGCCGAACTTTATGACGTGCACTTCAGAATACCAAACTTTCATAATGCCGAACTTTCATCAAGTGGCTTTCAATTGTTCTTCCCAGTTTGGGGCTGGCGGAATCCCCGGGCAGCCAGCGACAAACTACGCACGCTTACGAGAGGAAATGCTATAGCTTTTAAATTTTAAAAATTCTTGGAAATTTCGTTTTAATCGAATTGAAAGCACTTTTAAACGCCTAATGAAGCTTTTACTTATTTCCTGGGGTTTCAAAAGGCAAAATGCGTTTCGAGCGATCCGTTTCCTTCCAGTTTACGTTCGATCGTTGTAAAGCTGTTGATAGGTGTCGCGCGGACTCAGGAACCTTTCGTCGTTTTCTTTTTTTTTCGAATTTTTTTTCCTCGAGGTTTCTGTAAATTACGGCAAATTATACAGCCACCACACTGATTATTTTAAGTTTTTCTCTATTAATTTTCTCTCACCAATCACGCATTTGCTATAACTTCAGTTTTCGATGAATTCGGAATTACGGTCGATCTTTCTACTTTTTCAGCGTCTGATGGTGGCGACAGTCGCCTTCCCGTCATATCGCCAGACCAGCGGCGGCGGCTACCAAGTGAACCCGAACGGGCTCGCCTACTTCCGCCTTTTCTACAATGAAATCCTGGACCTGCTGTTCCGCGACCGCAACAAGCTCGTCGGGCACATCATGGCCTTTAGCAGTATGCTCGGTAGTGATCCTGCGAAATTTCTGACTCAATTTTTTAGGGCCAAATACCGAAAAGTTCGCCGAGCGGCTTCGCTTTGCAAGTTCGCTGAACTGTTTCAAGGTATGTGTCTGATTAGGAATCATTTAATTTCGGCGTTTAGATGGTCTCACAAATGCTTCACACGCTGCTCATCACTGAGGAAGGCACCTTGCTGGTGGATTCCTGGCTGGAGAATGGTATTTTGGCGTACATTGACGTTTAGCTGCTTCCCTTCTTAGTTTCTCCCGAGCTTCACGCCGCCGCGCACGGCACCGGCATCGATCCGCAAGCGCCTTGGGTGCAGGTGTTCGTCAAGGTGAGCGGATTTTCTGAAACTAGACATATTTTTTAGTTCTTCATGCGCGAAAATGATCCCAAGTTCCTGATGCGCATCGTTGCCAGCTTCCACGTGCTCGCCATCATCGACAAAGTAAATTTTCTCTACCAAAATTACAACTAGAAATTTTGTTCAGATTGAGGCCAAACCGCGTTCCTATGATGGATTCCTGTCCGAATATAGGAAGGCCATAAATTATGGTCAGATACGTCGACTGGCCGTGTTGAAAGGGCTTGAGATGAAGCTGGATGAGCGTTTGTACGGCCAGGGTATATTATTTCCACGCTGTTATATGCATTACTTTTAGAGTTTGATCATCGCTTCTACGCCCGGCTATTTATCCGCACGCTGCCAATGTGTAACAAGGACGAGGGCGATCGTGACGACTGGGTTTTCGAGCTTGTCACGTAAATCGTCTTATTTTTTCAAATCTTGGTTTAGATATCTAAAGAAAGACGCTCGCAACCGGGCCATGCTCACGATTTTCATGCCCAACTATTCGCAGGAATTAGGTATTTTTGCCTGACTGTCTGAATTGTTTTTTGTTTCCAGAGGTGCGCCGTCAAATGCAGATCCAGGCCGCTACTAAGGACTTTGTCGAGGAGGTCGCTGAAGACGGGCTCGAGGCCACCGAGTGCACCCCACAAGCCGAGGCCAAGTCGCAGATGTACGATACATGTTAGTTGATACGTTTCATGCTTACTTTTTTGATCTAGGGGTCCTGGACAATGCTGGCGCACCATACGGTACCGACACGGCGCTGCGCTCCTACCAGCACGAGCTCGCCGAGCATGCTTGCCAAGGGTTTGGCTGTGTTTTTGATGTTTAGCTTGATTTTTAGTAAAAATGCCGTCATCGTTGCGCCCACCGGTGCTGGAAAGACCTATGTGGCCGCCCACATTGCTCGGTCTCATTTCGACTCGGCCGAGCGTGAGGGTCGCGCGGCTAGGGTGGGATCTTCGAGATTTTGATCTTTATACTTCACTGTTTAGGTTGTGTTTGTCGTCCCGAAAGTTCCGCTCGTCGAGCAGCAGTGCAACGCCTTCAAGCAGTTCTTCCATGGCGTAAGTTTTACAATTTAGCTTTTTGACGTTATCTTCCTGCTTCAGCGCTACCTGGTCGTTGGACTTCACGGTGCTGCCACCATCGGCGATGAAGATGACCGCAGAAAGTTGCTGCTCGGCGCCCACTTGATCGTCATCACCCCGCAGCTCCTCATGTACGGTTTTTGACCATTTGTCTAGTTTCTTTTTTCAGTAACATGCTGAAGTCGGTGCGCCGCGCCGAGCGCATCTATCTCTGCGACCTGACGATGGTGATGCTTGACGAGTGTCACCACACCACCAAGGAGAGCGCATACAATGTGCTGATGGACATGGTGCATCAATATAAGCACACCAAGCCACAGGTATAGCTGCGGAATGCTTAAAATCCCCGATTTTACTTTTAGATTGTCGGCCTGACCGCGTCGCTGGGTACTGGCGGCATGACGAACAACCCAGAGAACGTGTGCGAGTACATCTACCGCCTGTGCGGCGCCATGAACTGCCAGCGGCTCAGCACGGTGCAGAAGTACAAGGACGAGCTCAACAAATACGTGCAACTGCCTGACGACGGTGCGTTTGGCCTTTTCTGCCATGACTTTTGGTTTTAGAGGTGAAACGATGCTCAAGGGATCGCCAGGCGCAGAGTTTCTAGTAAGTTTTTCTAACATTTCAGACGAATTTTCGTTTTAGCTACCGTCTCCGCGTGCGTATGCAGGACTTCGAACACCGCGCGATCACCACGCTGAAATCACTGTCGAGCGGCAGCGGCGCCATCTTCAACGATGTGAGGGTTTTTATCTAGTGCTTCATTTTTTCAGCGCGAGATCGCCATCGGGTCGGCGTTCAAATGTCTGACGCGCTACGAGGGCATGGTTTCGCAGCTGCTTGAAAGGGTTAAAAAGTATGCTTTTCTGTGTATGACTTGTAGAAATGCCTTTAGTCAGAGCAACTTGAAGGCGCACGTGCGTATGGATCTACTTGCCGGCCTCCAATTGCTAAAGGTAATTTTTATTAGTTTTTCTTTGGAGAGAGTGCTTTCAGCTCTGCGCCAACGCCATGCTCATTGATGAGGTGATGCCTTCCTGCTACGCCTTGGACTACTTGAAGCGGGTAAGAATTGACTTTGAAAGCAGAAGCACTTTTGTACTTCTTCAGGCCACCGGAGAGCAAAACGAAAACCGTCACCTGTTCTTCGACGAATTCTGGAGCAACGGTACGTTTAGCCTTTTCTATCTCAATAATTTTGCGTTCAGGCAACGATCAGGCCCTGCGCGCAGCGTGCGAACAAGAACGGCTCGAGCAAAAGGAGATTGTGCGCGAACTAGAGACACGCATCCGCGAGCAGCTCGCCCGCCTGCCCGGCAGCCGTATCCTCATCTTCGTGAAGGAACGCTCGGCCGCACAGCTGCTCTCGATGGCCATCAACGAACACGCCTTCTTCCGCACGTTGCGCAACAATGTGCGCGGAAAGATTGCCGGATTCGCTACGGGTAAAATACCTCGCACTTTTTCTCATATGATATGCTTTTTCTAGGAGCCGGCTCGAAGAAGAAGGGACAACAGGCTTCACAAACCGTCCAAGAGCAGGCGCGCACGATGGAAGACTTCAAGGATGGAAAGTTGAAGGTTTTTTGGAGTTTCGAGCGCTGATAACGCTGTAATTTTGAGGTGATGGTCGCCACGTCGGTGATGGAAGAAGGTGTTGACGTCCAGGCTTGCAACCTCATCATCAAGTACAACATGACCGGCACCACCATCTCCGAGGTGCAAAAGAGAGGTACGAAAATTTTCTAAGTCTTTATCTCGCAATTTTAGGTCGTGCTCGTGCCGCCGGCTCCAAATCTGTGCTGCTCGTCGTCTCCGATTCTGTGGAACAACGCGAGATGGAGAATCGTCAGGGCGAGATGATGATGGCCCAGGCGCTGAAGATTATCACGCAGCTGAACGAGGCCGAATTTATGGCTAGGGTAATTTCTTGAGCTCGCCCTTCTAGTTTTTTAGTGTGACAAGTCGAAGCGCGAGCGCCAATCCGAGAAAGACCGCCAGGCTGCCGACGAGAAGCGCATGTTGAGCAATAATAAAAAGTAATTTTGAATCATATTCTCAAAATTCTTTCTTAGTTGCACGCTGCAATGCATCAACTGCGAGGGCGACATCGGCCGCTCCACCCATATGCGCACCATCATGAACCACAACTACGTGGTGTGCAGCGACAGGATCTGGGAGCGCATCATCTTCGAGCCGAAGAAGAAGATCAAGGCGAGTTGAATACCGCAATTTTATTTTGTATTTTTTAGTCGATTGGCGAGACGGCCCTTGTGCTCGGATCGGCTTTGTGCGGCCGAATCGCTAACGAAGGCGAATCTGACGCGGCGTGCAAGGCCGTCCTCGGCACCGTCATCAAATACGCCGACACGTACCATGTCCAGTTGTCGTTGAATTCGGTGAGTTTCCGCTTTTCTCGCGATGGTCAATTTTGTCATTTCAGCTCAAAATCATCGACGACGCCACCGAGGAGTGCGTGGAGAACATGACCAAGAAGAAGTGGGGCAGCATCAAGACGCAGCTGTTCTACATCCCGGAAATTACGGAGGGCGACCTGGTCAGTTTGGTCTCTCGGGATATAAAGTCTTTTTTAGAAGCGTATGCTGCACTCCGTCCCCGACCGGTTGACGCGCGAGTTCCTGGCGGCCGAGGCGCAAATCAAGGAGGAGGTCGGCTTAATTATTAGTTTTTCGGGCGGGGGAGGGCGTTAGATAGAAGAAATATTTTTTGGTAGTCTTGTGTATGAAAAAGTCACGACAAATATTTTAGAAAATTAGAAAGAAAAATAGAATTCTTGACCATTTTCACGCGATTTGTGACCCAAATGCAATGTTTTTGAAGATTTTAAGAAGTTTCTATGAGTGCAAAACGCTTTCCTAGTTTTTCTATAAAGCATTTTTTATAACATAAACCAGCGCCCAAAACCCGCTTCGCGGGCCTTGGGCGCGGGAATCAGGCCTTTGCATGAGAAATTTGACTTTCCAATTGCTCGGGTCTTTCGGACCCCTCCCCTCCCCCCGACCAAACTCGCGAGTGCAACTGGCATGAATGAGGAAATCTGTATTTTTTCGCATTATGCAAATTAGCCCTCCCAGACCCCCAAAAATGAATAAAACTGGCTTTAACTTTGTAAACTTGTATTTTATCGAGATTCTGAAAACGCCAACGGAAAGAGGAGGGTCGATTCCCCCGGGTGGCGGAGAATTAGGGCATTTTGGACACGGGAAGGGCCTCAAATCTGACCTCGAAACTGACCTCCGCACACACACACAGACAAAGATACGCGACCAAATTATATAAGGTAGGATTTTTTTTCAGGCGATGAACCAAATCGAGCGAAAGCGCCGCCGTCGCGTCAAGGACCAAGAGCCGCTAAACGAGTGGTACGCCGATGATGACGATTTCGAGGATGAAGCCTAATCTCGAAATATCCAAATTTTCGCACCATGCCCCCGATCCATTTTCTATTTGTACCTCTCCCCCTCTGCCCCCCACATTTTATTGCTTTGTTTTTGAGCCAATTTGTTTTGTTTCGGCGACCCCCCCTTCGTCGTTGCTTGTTTACTCTTCTGTTTTCTCACTGTATCGGGTCTCGTTTCGCGGGTTGACAATTGTGACAAATAAATTTTCGGGCTTACGTTGGTCTTGGAATCAACACGACAGCATTGACAACATTATATGTATGATCCTTGGGGGGATTTCAGGCGTCACCCGACTTCAAGCAGCCTTTACTCTCTGGATGGTGTGGAATCTCACCCCGGATGCCCAAGTTCAATTTGCACAGCTGGAGGAGTTGTGGGTGTGAAACGGAAACGGGCGTGCAGCAGAAAATGGACCAGTCGCCGGAAAAATGCCGCGCGGTCTGGCTTGGATTTGATTTTTGTACTCGGATTCCCATTCTCATTTTAAGCTAGCCTTACAGCTTTTAGAACCGGTTTCTTGACATGACGACTAACCCAACGGCTGTCCTGGTGCTATGCGGCTTCTTGGTGGGCGTTGTCTACAAATTTTCCGAAGATCTGTATTTACCGCCAGCGATGGATATCAAAAGTAAACCCTTTTTGCCAGTTTTAGCCTTAGATTATAACTTGAGCCTCAGCTTCCTGAAAAACTTGTACTCGGAGGTGGAGGAAGATCAGTTCGCCATTTTCTCGTCGTGTCACCTAACAATCCCTGATCCTTGGGCGTGGAATATTAATCGAACGTATCAGGATCGGGATATTACGATAGGATGTGACAAGAAATATGTAAGTAAATCGAGATAACATCATTCACAAAACGTTAGAAATAAACCTCAGAATTTAGAGCCCAGCGACGATCTTTAAAAATAGCAAGATATCGATATCGAAATCCTGGGATCAAGTGGATCATTGTGACGTCAGGTAGAAATATATTTTTGAAGCAAAATAACTTCAAATCTATCTAAAAATCGACTTTAGCTGTTCCGTGTACACATGGGAAAATGGATTCGACAAAACGAAGGAGAACATTACGAAAATATACCCGGGAGACGCTCTATTTGTAAACTGCGCCGTCGTCTACACAGAATGTTTCCAAAAAGGCAAGAAGAAGCCGATTGATCGCTACCTGCACACGCAACTTTTGGAGGTGGAGGATGAGTGGGTTTTTGAGTAATATTCTATAGACTGTTTGGTACAAATATTCGAGGCAATTTCGAAATTATAGATAGAGAGCGTTTTTAGACCCGAGACAGCAACCCAAAAACCGTATGGTCCAGCAACATCGAAAAACTTCCGGCCTGACGTGCATATTATCTTGATTGATTCTGTTTCTTCAACACAAGCAAGGAGGTAAGTAAATTTGCAAACTACAGCTATTTAACTTGTAGATCACTCCCAAAAACGATGGAATTTTTGCAAGAGGAAATGGGCGGCGTTCTGATGAACCATTTGAACAGGGTGGCTGATAATAGCCACCCCAATGGGTTTGCTTTCTTGTTTGGTAGGTAAATTCGATTTTAATTTTAAGTAAACTCCTAACATTGTATTTTTTTAATTTAGGCAAAAGAATCAGCCCAGTTTTCCGCGGCTTCATGGGCGCTGAAGATTTGATGGAAGAGTTACACGTTAACGAGTATTGTCGAAGTTATTTGGACAATCGCAGCGTTATTTTGCAGGAATATCAAGCACAAGGTGGCCTTTATATAATTTTTAGATTTTTATTCATATTACAGCACATTTTCTGATTTTTCAGGCTACAAAACGGCACACATTGCCGATTGGGGCGATGTTTTCTTCTATCCCAGTTGCCGGGGTTTTGAGAAACAGCCGACTACGCATCATTACAGGTAAGAAAAAAGTAAATATCTTTGTAGGGGTTAATATGACGTTAAAAAGATGTTTAGAGGAATCACGCGTACACTAGCTCGCAAAGAGGGCCTCGAAAAATACCTGAATACCAAATGCATCGAGGAATTTCATATTCTGCTAAATTATCACGTCCAGCTGGCGAGGGCGTATAAAAGTAAGCTGATTATAAATAGCTCAGTTTTTGTCATTAAAGCATCGTAACAAAAATGGTTTTCTTGTTCTAGATTCCCCGAAATTCGGCTTCACCTGGATCGCTGAGTTGGTACATGGAAACGCGAATTTCCTCTGGCACACCGACACCTTTTTCGAGGTAATTCGTAGATAGGAATTGCGAACCGCCTTTTTTTTGATTTTCCGGGGGTTCCGGAAAAATGGACTTTTCGGCACATTGAACTCATTGGAAGCTAGAAAAGCTCCAACGAAAAAAGTTGGAATTCCGAGACCAGCCGAATCTCTGGCCTTCCTGGCTGCGTAAATAGGCGCGAGATGGGGCACTTTATGATTTCGGGATTCAGCGGCGGAAACGCGAGTTCAAGCAAAATAGAGAATGAAAAAAAAAAGGCGAAAATGGTATTTTTTTTAGAAATTCTTTCGTGACAATGCAAAGACGTTTGCCAACTCGTTTGTGTTTTTCATGGGTGACCATGGGGCCAGGATGGGGCCGGTAAGTTATTTTTATTTTTCTCTGCCTATGTATCTCTCTCTCCCTCTCTCTCTGTCTCTCGTTCGCTCACTGTCTCTCTCTCCTTCTCTATGTCTCGTTCTCTTTTGCTGTCTTTCCCTTCCAAGCTGAAATTTCAAACTTGAAGTTTTTTTAGACGGTCAACACTCCGTTAGGTCAGCGAGAAATCAACAACCCGATGCTGGTGATGACAGTTCCGGAATTTTTGAGGGACAACGATGAGGTGAGAGAGAGCGAGAGAGAGGGCGAGATACAGAGGATGAATAGAAACAGTGATCTTTTTTTAGCTTATGAACAACCTCAAAGAACAATCCGTCAACCTGCTCACTCACTACGATATCTACGCGACTCTCCAGGATATTCTCAAGGTTCGCTTGCTCTCTCTTTCTTTGTTCTCTCTCTCATAATTTCTATAAAGCCAATTTTCAGAATGCCCATTACACAAACTATACAAAATTCGACTACGAGCCGATCCTAAACCCAAATCCAAACAATGGGACGTCACTATTGAGGCCGCGAGGCCCGTTTTCGGATAGGTACCTTGAATTTTCTTTGCGCCGTGAAGCATTTTTTTAGAAATTGCCAACGGATTCCAATCAATGGAGACTACTGTCTATGTCACTTTAATAAAACGGACAAGTCGGGAATTTTCCGGTTTTCCGAGACTGTTTTTTTCTTTAGGAACTATCGAGATATGGCTAGCTTTGCGGTGAGGACAATAAATGAGTATTTGGAGAGGGAGGAGCTATTGGAGCTGTGTGTTCCGCTGTCTTTAATAAGGGTACGATTACCTTTAGGCACAGATTATACGAAACGGGATTTTAACTTTTGTCGAAGCGGGAAATTTCTTAATATACTGAAAATGCTTTTCAACAGCTTTGAACTTTCAGGTCGAGTCCGTCCACAGTTACGCGCCGGAATTTCAAACTCGGCTTTATGAAGTGACTTTTAATGCCAATCCGTCTGGCAGGTTTCGAGCGGTAAGTACTATCTTTATAGTTTAATTAACTAGCCGTAACAAGCGCCCAAATTAATAGTGTGCTATATGGCTTGATAGGTCTCGTCGAGCTCTACCTTGGGTAGACTCTCCTAGCACCCAAAAATTGAGAGGCGCCGATATAAAGCTTCGAGAAGTTTTCCGCAAAATCGTACCAAACCTATTTTGCAAGTTATCTCTGCATAGAGCAATTTTCATGCGATATCGTTAATGTCAATCGATAGCTTTCGAGGAGTAGATATCGATGGATGTTGAGATCATCAAAATCGGACATCAGACGGCCGAGATATCGGCCTTTGAAATTTGGCCCGTTTCTTACTGTAACCCTCTTTGGTCGAAGTGGAAATTCCGTACGTGAGATAGCACGTCTTGTGCAGAATTTTTTGCTGATTCCGAATCCGTTTTCAAAAGTTGCGGAACCCCTCAGATTAAAAAGTTACAAACGTTTTTAATACCCACAATGCCACAAATCGCTTACTTTAGAACGTTCTAAAAATTCCGTAAGATACTTTTGGGAGGAAAGTACGACATTTTCCGGGGTAAAAAAACGTGCTCTTTCGAATGGGCTATCTCACAAACCCGTAGCTCGAAATTTCGAAAATTTCGAAAATCGACCATCTTGGGCAAGGGTCCGCCAAAACAAACTTTTTTGCAAATTTCGAGCTACGGGTTTGTGATATAGCCCATTCGAAAGAGCACGTTTTTTTACCCCGGAAAATGTCGTACTTTCCTCCCAAAAGTATCTTACGGAATTTTTAGAACGTTCTAAAGTAAGCGATTTGTGGCATTTTGGGTATTAAAAACGTTTGTAACTTTTTAATCTGAGGGGTTCCGCAACTTTTGAAAACGGATTCGGAATCAGCAAAAAATTCTGCACAAGACGTGCTATCTCACGTACGGAATTTCCACTTCGACCAAAAGAGGGTTACAGTTAGAACTTTTCTCGAAATCCCATACATTTGGTCAAAATGCGCTCGGTTCTTTTGAAAAACAAACGGTCAGTTTTGGCTGCGGGCTATCAAATGTATGGGATTTCGGGAAAGTTCTAAGAAACGGGCCAAATTTCAAGTGGCCGTATCTCGGCCATCCGATGTCCGATTTTGATGATCTCAACATCTATCGATATCTACTCCTCGAGAGCTATCGATTGGTGTTAGCCGTATGGCATTCAAATCACTGTATGCATAGATAACTCGCTAAAACGCTTTTGCTTAATTTTGCGATAACCTTCTAGAGCCTGTATCTCGACGTCCCTCAATTTTTGGGTCAACTGAGGGTCCTCCCAAAATAGGGTGTTGTGAAACCTATCAAACCATACCCTCAACCACTGAATCGGAAACATCTGCAATTTTAACGAGCGATTTCAAAAAATCGTGACAGAACTTATTATCCAACCTGATAACTAGCCGTAACAAAATTGAGAATTCAACCTTGTTAAATTTTAAAATGGTAAGTGTAGATCGACGGTTTTTCAAAAGGTTAAAATTATAAAATCCAATATTTTTAGCGAATCCGCATCGATTCTGACAACGGCCACCCGAAATTTGTGGCCTCCGGCTACCCTGTACGCCTAAATCAGTATGGAAGAACGGCAAATTGCGTGGCGGGCCCAAAACCTTATATGAGACCATACTGCTACTGTAGAGACAATTTAGAGCAACCAACAAATATTACAAAAACAACCAAAAGCTAAGTGTCTTTGAGCTTTATTTATAGGAGCGTTATGAATAAATTATTTTATACACAGAAAGGCGAAAAATGCAAAAAACAACACATGGAAGTTGTTTGAAAGTAATTTAAATTATAGCTCTTTTGCATAAATCCTGGTCTCGAAAAATAAGAAAATGCTATGCCATTCTGGCTGCTTTTCAAGTCCTCCGGACGCCGGCCATGATTCTGACGATCTTCCTGCTCCTCTTCGACACCGGGATTTATGCTGAGGAGGTAAATTTTTGAATAGATTTAAATCGAAGATACCATCCATATTTCACGTTTTTTCAGATGTCCTACGACCAACCGACATGCGTGCACAACCTCTGCAACGCGACCGCACTGTACGGTTATTTGGGAGCTTTAAATTGGTATAAAAATGAAGGGATCAGCCTTTTTCGACTAGCTGTCGAAAACTGATATCCAGTTTGACGGAACCATAATTCCGGATCTGCTCCGGAAGATTTGCACTCAAAAATTTTCCACATTGGGCTAGCAGCTTTTCGGGTTCTGGACTGTTAGCGGGGGGGGGGGGGGCTTAGAGGGGATACAACCACTTTTTATTTTTGAACTACACCTTTTCACCGCCACTTATTGATAACATATCATGTATTTTTATAATCTTTTTAGTAGTTTTTGAATACAAGGACGTTAAAAAATTTCGAAAATTTTTTGAAAATGTTTACTTTTTTATATCTAAAAACCATGTTAAATGTCATAAAAATGGTCAACATTTCATGATACGGGCGTAGTGAATTACTTAAATTTAGGTCTCCCCCCACCCAACAGTCCGAACCCCTTAAAGCACCCTATCTCTATTCGAATCCCGGACTTCACGAAAATACAACACTTTCCAGCTACCCGGGCGATCGTTCCCTCGACCTCGTCTGCCCCGGGTCGAAGAACGAGCCGCGCGGTGAAATCAACTACCAATTCACGTGGGCATACTGCATTCTGTTTAACAACAGTGCTTTCGCGGAATCCGGGGTGGGGAAAACTAACCCCCCCCCCGATAATGCGAAAGAACCGTAATTTCCGGGATTTTTGTAGTGGTTACCGGACGGTGCAGCACAAGTCGTTCTTCTGGCTGAACGGCAAGGACGTTCGCCGTGAGGACATCACTCGCTGCGTTGACCCGCTGGAATTTGACGAGAAGCTGCTCAAGGAGCGCCCCAGGGAGCAGATGGCGGTGGGGAGAAGTTTTCTTTTGTTATTTGTTGGCACGGGTTTAAGAGAGAGAGCGAGAGAGATAGATACAGAGAGAGAGACCGAGAGAGAGAGACGGAAAAAGTAAGTTTTTCAATTCCAGACGGACCACGAGTGGCACGGTGTGAACTGCCAGACGTGGTCGGACAAATGGGGATGTCTGGAATGCCCGTTTCAATATGAGCCGGGCAATCGGTAGGGTGACAGCCTCGTTCGTCGTATCCACGCCGTCATTCTAGGAGTTGGAGCATCCAGAATCAGCTGAATGGCACGTACACCACCTGCAACCCCTTGCCCTACGACCAGAACGCCATCGACGACCTGGCCCCGAAAACGTTCGGCAACGCCAGCAGAATCGCCTTGCCCGCCGGGAGATATTGCCCAGAGTGGGTCGCCGAAATGGATGGATCTCTTGCTTTGTCGGGGGGCACCAATTTTCTCCTTTTTTCTAGCTTTTTTCAACCACTAAACAACTAAACACTTTAAATTTTTTGAAAAAATCTGGGTTTTTGGCCAAAAATCGGGCTTTTTTGGTCAAAAAACCCATATGTTTTGTATTTGGCAATGATATTTTGGGAAAAAATTAAGCATTTTTTCGCTTAGGAATGGTAAAAACGGTTTAGAAACAGCTTAGCCTTTTAGGTTTGAAAAAACGCATCTTACAAACCCCACGGTACCCTCCCCCCGATAATGCACAAGAAGCGTGAAATCTGAAATCATATTCGGTAAGGAGGAAGATATCCCGTGCTTTTGCAGCGGCTACTTCCGATATGGGCCCTGGAGCAGATGCTCGACCTGCACACCCGGCTGCCTGAGGTGTACGGACGAAAAAGTGAGTGGGTTCGGCTAGATTTTCTGGGTACGGATAAGCGAGAATCACCTGTTCCAGAGCTGCCTCTTATGTGAGATCGGCTACCAACCGTCGCTGAACAACCAGCTCTGCTCAACAGCCAGCAGGACCATGTGCCCGGGGTACGTAGCTTGCCACGACGGTGCTGGTGTGTTAGCGGGGGAGGTGGTGGGGAAACCAACCAGCGTATATTTATGGAAGATATTCGGGCCTAAAACAGGCCCTTTCCGGGCTTCTCGCTTTGGTCTGCGCCGAATTTTGACCTTTTTGAAAAATGGCCATAAAAAAGTTCGTCCACCCCCGATAATGGAAAAGCCCCCTAAGAAGTCACAAAACTCGGTAAATGTTTAACCAAACTATTCCAGAGGCTTCTTCGCGCAGGATGGGCAATGCAAAAAATGCTCATACATCACGCCGCACTGCGAGAAATGCGATAAGGTATCTTTTCGAGGTTTCTAGTAACTTGATACTAGAAACCTGACTTTCTAGTCACTTTTGAGGGCTAATTTCAGTGCCTTCCCGGATCCAAAGTGCTTTAATGTTTCGTCACCTGGGGTAATCGACCCTCCTCTTTCCGACATTCCGAAAAAAATTTCAAAATACAAGTTTACAAAGTTAAAGCCGGTTTTTATCGTTTTTCGGGACCGACGGGGGGGGGGCTAATTTGCAAAATTCCAAAAAACATCCATCTCCTCGTTTTTTTCGTCTTCCGTTTCGCCTCAACAAATCGTTTAGCATGGCGTTTGCCTAAGTTGCGGTGACTCGCTGGTGCTGGCCCACGGGAAGAATGGCATGGTGTGCTTGGATTTGTGCGTCAGGTGCGTCCCTTTTTAGGGTTGATAGCCTTCGCCTTCCCCCCCCCGCTAACAGTTCAGTACCGCATTTTCTTAATTTGTTCCCCTTTCAGGGGCACCTACTACGATGTGTTCACAAAGCAATGCACCCAGTGCCCGAGCTGGTGTTCCCGCTGTTTGAGGATGTAGTGTTCCATTTGGAATCCACCCGACTCATCGTGAATTGGCAGGGAGCTGTGTCTCCAATGTGCGCCCGGGCTGTACAGCCTCCTGAATTACATGCCCGAACTTCACACTGGCTTGTCGCTGTTCTGCTACAACACGTGCCCGTTCGTTTTTCGGCTTGCTGGATGGCCGGCTGGGCATGTTATTTCTGGCGCTTTTGCATTAGCGGGGGCCCCGGACCCCGATTTGAGGGCCTTCCCGTGCATAAATGCCCTAATTCTCCGTCACCCGAGGGAATGGACCCTTCTGTTCCCGATGGCGTTCTCAGAATTTTGATAAAATACAAGTTTACAAAGTTAAAGCCGGTTTTATTCATTTTTGGGGATTACCCGGTGGCTAATTTGCATAATGTGAAATAATAGAAATGTCCTCATTTTGCGAGTAGCGGGTTTTGGGCGCTGGTTTGAAATATAGTTGAATATAAAAAAATAGTGTCTGTGTGTGTGCCACTTTGCATGCAACTTCCGTCAGGTTGTTCCAGTAGTATCTTAATAATGGGAGTAGTTAAGGGCATGTTTGATACGTCATTTGGTGCGTAATGGTCTGGGGATGACTGCACGCTAATAAAATTTTGAAAAATTACATGTTTTCTACGTTAAAATTAAGTTTTTGTTAAAAAATCGGCCAGCCTCTTTGTTAGGAAACAATTAGCATACGCCGGAAGTTGCGGTAGCCTATATAAGGGAAGAGAAGTAGCGTTTCTCATTTTTGTGATCGAAAATCGTGAGAATTATGCAAAGTGAAGAATATCAAATCATGGGATCACACGGGGCCAGGGTTGAAAAGTCGCGAAGCGGATTTTCAACCCTGGTATAGTTGAATTTCACAAAAAACATTGTGAAGGACGTACTATTCGGGGTTTCTAGAGATTTCTGGGCCAATAAAAAAAATAGTAATTCCAGCGTCCCCCCTCCCCCCTAAAGCGAGAGCACCCGATCGCTCTTCTCTCTTCTTCACTCACTCTCTCGCTCTCTCTCTCGCTTTTACTCTCTTTCACTTCCTCTATCTTTCACGCGCTCTCTTTTCTTGTCTTACTTTCCCATATCCGATCACCCGTTTTCCAGCGCGGGTACATACGCCGAGAAGACGCAACCCTGGCGATGTGTTCCGTGCGATCCGTCCTGCGATACTTGCTGTAGGTTACCACCATGCGCGCTCTCTCTCTCTCTCGCTCTCTCTCACTCTCTCTTTCTATCTCGCTACACGGCAGCCCTTAATTTAGATGGCCCAACGAGACGTCACTGCTACGGCTGTACTTCGTTCGGTATCGTCGACAGCGATAATATGCAGGTGTCGCCGGAAGTTCCGAACCCTCGTAGCAATCACGTCTTTTTCAGGCCTACTGCAACCCCCGCTACGAGTCCCTTTCCGACATGCGCTACTGTATCCAAGGCCGAGAGCGCTGCTCCGAAATTCTGGTGGAGTTCGTGCGGCCGTACGTTGGCACCGCGACCACTATCTACGGCGACAATCGGCCGGACTTTGGCACGACAGACCCGGCCGAGCGCGCGAAGATCGTCTACTCGCCCGTGTTCCGGGACGTGGAGATGTACAAAGCCTATTGGGACAAGTGGGTGTCGGGTGTGGATCTGGCTCCTCTCTCTCTCTACTCTCTCTCTCTCTCTCTCTCTCTCTCTCTCTCTCTCTGCCTTGCTCTCGCGTGGTTACTCTTTTCCTCAGACGGGCCCACGACGAGAATCTGACTCCAAAGGACCTCTACCCATCGTTCTGCGTCGACAACGAGTGCCTATCAGGCTGTGACACGTCTAAGGCGACGCTCTTCCATGTGGGGATGCCTTAAACTTTGGGACTAAATTCCTTTAGGAGCTTTTTCATTATCGGGGGGGGGGCATCCGGAATTTTTCATGCACAATGCGCATGCTTGTTTTTCGAAAAACTCGTTTGACCACACGAGACGGTTTTTTAGGAGCACCGTGTGGTGGAAGTTGTTCTAAGCAGTTGGTTACTTTTCTAAACATTGAAAAACTCGTAAATACAGCTTTTTTGACCAAAAATTTCAATCCAAAACAGGTTTTCTAGGTTTTTAGCAAAGTTCGCTTTAAGCGGTGGATAAATTTTACTAAAACCAAATGAAATAATTGGTACTGCTTTTTTTGTTTTTTCACACTTTCACACTTTCTTTTCAGCCGTGCAAGTCCTGCAAACCGGGCTTCATCCGTGACTTCAAGGGCTATTGCGTCAAGGGCTGCCCGGTGTGAGTTCAGCCGGCCACCCACCCCCGTATTTCCTTTTTTTCAGGAGCAGCTTCTACACGAAGAAGATTCTCACCCAGGAAACCGACCTGCCCGACGAGTTCGTCGAGTACGTGCGGCGGCTGCGCGACTGCATGCCGTGCCTCGACCCGGACCGCTGTCTCCGATGTGATTGGGTGAGCAAAGCAACCGAGCCCGTCTGGTAATTAAATAAAATATGTTAAATTTTTCGAGTGGTTTCCGATCACTAAGAAAATACGACAACTTGAATAAAAAACTTTAAAATTTGGTTTTTGAGCGGTTTCGGACATTTTTCACACGCTTCTCTCCAGAAAGTCCATTTTTCGAGACTTGGATAAATTTATGTAAAGTGTTTTGATTTTTGACGAGTATCGAAATTTAATTTTCAAAATAAAAATAAAAATTATGATTGCGATATTCGGGAGCCGTGAACTGAATGAACCCTGACGTCCTCCAAATTTGGCGTCCTACTTTAGTACCTGGGCAGCAACCGAACTAACGACCAGCATTTGATCCCGGTTATGTACGCCGAAGCGCCCTACATGTATCCGCACAAAGATGAAGTGAAAGGTGGAAACGTTAGGCATCGAAAAAGCTAAGACTTGGGCAAAGCTTAGCTTAGGCTCGGGCTTAACCTTGGATTTACGCCTAGGCTTAGGCTTAGGCTTGTTTTGTGTAATACGCTCCAAAAACCCATTCCCAGATCCTTGGTGGATCCGCATCAAATGCCTCGAGTACACGAACGGAATTGGCAAGCCGAAGTGCTTCGACGAGTGGGTTTCGCTCTTTCCCTCTCTCACTCTCTCTCGCTCTCACTCTCTCTCCTCTCTCGCTACCTTTACCTCTCCGTTTCCAGATTCCAATTCGTCGACGAATCCGGCCACTGCCAGCCCTGCCACCCTGAATGCGTCGGATGCGTCGGTTTCAACGAGAATCAATGCAAAAAATGTCGCCATTTTATGGACAAAGATGCGGTAATCACAAAATAGCTATCATAATTTTGGGCTTAGAATTGCGTCCAGAATTGCCCACCGGAAACGACACCGAAGCTGATCCACATGGGCGTGTGGTTCTGTGAGCAGACCCCGAAACTTCGGACCGTCCCTCTATCGGTGGGCTTCAGAGCGAGAGGAGAGAGAGGGAGAGCGCGAGAGAGAGGGAGAGAGGGAGAGAGAGCAGAGAGAGATAGAGGGACGGAGAGAGAAGGAGAGAGAGAAAGTGGGAGAGAGGGAGCGAGAGTGAAGGAGAGAGAGAGCGAGAGAGATAGGGAACGAGAGAGAATGAGAGAGAAGGAGAGAGCTTGATCGTATTTGAGACATTCTAGGATATCACCTTCAACCAACAATACATGAGCAACTACCGGGTGGTGGCGATGACGTTCCCGATGCTGCTGCTCCTCTACGTTGCCGTGCAATTCTGGGGGCTTGTTAGTGAGTTTTTCCTAGCTTCTCTCTCTACATCTCTCCTCTATCTCTCTCTCTCTCTCTCTCTCTCTCGCTCGCCGCCCTACGAGGAAAAGCATTTTTCTTCAGTTTCCTGGTTTTGCGCCGGGCAGGACAACTGCGCGCTGATCCCGTGGAATGAGGAAAAGTAAGGAAAAATATAGCCTGGCTGGCTTCGCCTGCCGTCTCAACCTTTGAAGCTCCTTTCCGCTTAAACAGCCTTTTCCAGGTTGATCCGACGCCGCGCGATCTCCGACGTGACGCAACTGATGGTCGCCCGTCGCCACGCCCGTTCAACTACGGACCTCCGTGGCCCGCAAGTACCGGAAAAGCTGGCCTGTTGGTTTCACAGCTTCGATAATTCCAAGCTAACGCCTAAGCCTAACCAGCCGAAGCAGAAGTCTAAGCCTAACCGAAGCCTAAGCCTAAGCCTAAGCTTGAGTTTAAGCAGTAGGTGAAGCTTACGCCAATGCCTAAACTTGCGACCAAAATGAGACTTTGAAACAGCTTGATGACCTTCTTTCTCAGCACCCGACGACATCGAACAGCGCAACCCGTTGATGAATCGCCGCATCATCATCCGTTACATTGTAGGACAATCGTAGATCTTTGGTCATCTCCCATTTCCAGCTGAAGCGGAAGTTAGCCCAGAAGCCGAAACCGCCCGAGGTCATCAAGGGGCCGTCATGTAGGAGATGTTCAGGAGATCAAAACCTGGGTTCAGATAGCATCTCAACCACCCAAGTCAGCCCCCCGACGGAGTCCCCGAAAAAGAAGGGCGCCACCGACTCGGGCAAGTCGGGAAAATCCGGGAAATTGTCGAAGCACTCGCGCGTCTCGGCGAAGACGTTCAAGGAGGTGTTGTTCTCGCCGGTGCCGGAGAGTTTGGAGATTGATGCTACGATCGTGCCGACGGCGGTGGGCTTATTTGGAGTAGCTAGACAGCAATCAGGCATCACGCAATCCCTGGGTACTGGTCTATTAGCGGGGGGATTTGTGGGGGTTCAGGAGAACCAGCTTTGGAGTATCGCCCGGAAGGGGTTCATGATGTCAACGACGCTTTTTATGATTTCTGACGTGATTTTTGTGTAGAAAAAAAATTAATTTCCATTAACCCCTCCACCCCACCCCCGCTAAGAGGCCAGTACCACAAACAAGTTGGTTAGCTGCCTGAGGACTACGAAACGCTACCCGCTTTCAGTCCCCCGAGGGCAACCACTTTGGCAAGAGCCCCCTAAAAGCCGACAAGAAGCCGCCGACCCCGCAGAAGAACCGCTCTGGCCTCCTGCCGCCCGCCAACCGCAAGCCGTCCATCGGCCATCTTGACAGGGTAGGGTTTTGTGTGGGTGGACTTCCGACCCACAACTCAACGAGCACGGCGTTAAAACCGGCTGCAGAGGACGCGCCACTCCCGAGAGGACCCTCGACCGCCCACGCCCAAGACACTGACGCCGCAGACGGCCGCTCAACTACCTGTGCCACCGGTTCCGGAGCGGCGAGTGGCTAGTCGAGAACGAGGAGCGGTTAGTCGAGGAGGGAAGAGTACACGTCAGGTTGGGTTATACTATAGGCTTAGGCTTGAGCTTAAGTTTAGGCTTAGACTTTGGCTTCGGCATGGCTTATGCTTTGACTCAGGCTCATGCTCAGGCTAGCGCCTAGAATTTCGGTTCATATCTGCCTCTTTCAGAAGAAGTCGTCGAACAGCGCCGAGGTGTCGGCCGGAACCAGCGGCACGAACCAATCCCAGCAGCGAGTTGCCGCACACCCATCCAAGAGCCGCCACGACAACCGTCAGACGGTAGATCTTTCTTTTTCTCTTTTTCTCTCTCTATCTCTCACTCTCTCACTCTCTCGCTCTCTCCCTCTCTTTCTCCCGCTCTTACCGCTTAACTCTTGAATTTTCAGTCCCGCCGCTCCCAGCCGTCCGGCGCTCGTTCCGGCCGCCCACAGCAGCAGCAAGAATCGAAAAACCGATCGCTGAACCGAAAATAATTGACCGTCTACTTGCCACACCAGTTTTTTTCTCTGTTGCTTAGTTTATAACGTATCTTCCCTCTTTCTTTTGTGATTCTTCATATACGTGGTCTATTCTTGGAGGAGGATAAAGGCTTTTGGTGTTTGGATTTTGGCGAGAGAGAGACAGAGGTGCGAGAGAGAGTGAGTGCAAGTGTGAGAGAGTGAAAGAGAAAGCGAGAGTGGGAAAGAGTGAGAGAGAGAGCGAGAGTGAGTTAACGTGTCGGTCTCACGGTCAGAGTCAAAGACAGCTACAGAGATGAAGAAATAGCAAACGCGAGCATGACAATGAGCAAGAGCAAGAGATAATCGAGCAAGACAACAAACTCACTATATTTAAAAGGCACGAGTTCGTGCTCGCATCTCCGAAGTTTGCATAAAAATCAGCTAATTTGCATAAATTCTGGTGAGATCAATCACTCGCACTCCTCGGCATTCCGTTGCCGCTAGCCTAGCCGTCGGTATGGCGACCGTCATCCTCGTCATCTTCCTTCTGCTCTTCGATGCCGGGCCTTATGCAGAGGAGGTAATTTGAAATGCGATTTTCATGTAAATCGCTTCTTACCAGATGGCCTACGATCAACCCACCTGCCTGCACGACTTCTGCAGGCTAGAGCCAACGTACATAATTTTGCTACTCGACTCATAGCCGAAGAAGGAATTTGCAGATCTAAACATAAATCTAAAGCCTAGGTATACAAATTTGCAAAAAATCTCCGCGTTTTGGTTCAAAATATCAAAGAAATCTCCAGTTTTCAATGATTCTTAAAATACTTTGTAAATGCCCTAGCAGTGAAAACTGTAAAAAATAAAACGGGAAGAGTCTAGGGAAACCCCCCAGCCGTAACTTTTCAGCCATACGTCCTATTGTTAGATATATTTCGGGATGGGGGCTTTAGACAGATGGTGTAGCCCCCCCCCCACCTCGCTAATAGTCCAGTACCACCCCTTCCAGCTACCCGGACGATCATTCCCTCGATCTCGTGTGTCCAGGCGCAAAGGACGAGGCGCGCGGCCAAATCAACTACAACTTCACGTAAATGCTCAGGAACTTTAAGTATACCTGATTATTTAAGTGGTTACCGTACGCTGCGCCACAAGTCGTACGTCGTGGTTAACGGGGTGAGGGAGCCGACACGTCTCGATCAAACCCGCTGCTTCGACCCGCTGGAGAAACCGGACGGGTATACGATGCTGACGGTAAGGAAAAAGAAGCTTTCGCAACTCACCACCCCCCTCCCCCCGCCCGGCTAACGATCCAGTACCCAGAATCCGAGCTTGAATTTCAGACGGACAACGAGTGGTACGGCGTGAATTGCCAGACGTGGAGCGAAAAATGGGGATGTCTGGAGTGCCCGTTCGGCTACCGCTACTCGGAAGATGATCGGTGGGCCACTGAATTGAGGCATCAGCGTCGCGGCAGAACATTCCTACTACTTACTTACTTACTACTTACGAGATGTAATTGAATCGGTCCCCACACGCGCAAATTTTGCCCGTCTATCCCCTTTAAATACCCGAATTCAGGATATGGAACTCGCAGCTACAGATGAACGGCACCTACACGACATGCAGCGCGCAGCCCTACAAGGAGGAAGTAGCCGCCGTCATGGCCCCGACCAACTTCCAGGAGGCCATCAAGCTCACCCTGCCCAATGCCAGATTTTGTAAGGAGTGGGTGAACCGATGTTAGCCTATCGTAACCGGTTGTACCTCTAGAGGCTGGTTCCTGAGCACGCTCGGCGTCTGCACGAAGTGCGGCAAGGGCTGCTTGAGGTGTACGACAGTAGGGGTGAGTCAGATCTTTTTCGCGCTCTCTCGTTCTATCTCTCTTTCTCATCTTCTCACCCTCCCGCTCTCTCACCCTACCGCTCTCGCTCTCTATCTCCCTCTGTCTCTCTCGGTCTCTCTGTCTCTCTGTCTCTCTCTTTCTCTCTTGTTCGCTCTCTCCCTATCGCCTGTACTCCACAACAAATTCGAAGATTACTTACAGCAATGCCAGCTCTGCGAGGTGGGCAACAAGCCGACGCGCGCAAACGAGGGCTGCGCGAACGCCACGGGGACGCTGTGCCTCAGGTGCGTCGTGCCACTTTACGGTTTCGATGGACGATGGCATGGATGGAGTAGCGAGTTTAAAGGGACGGGGAAACGCGAGAGTTTGCAAATGCGTATTGGACGTAGCTGGGATCGATTTCGAACCTAACTGTTGGAGCCCGAAAGCGCCAGCAGGGGTAATCCTAGGCTTGTCCGTCCCTTAAAAAAACCCGAGAAGGACCTTCTTCAGGTTTTCTGACATACCTGTCTATATCTAGGCTGAGCAGGGGGTAGATTCAGGCTAGTCCGTACCTCTAAAGGACCGAGAAGCACGTACCGAAGTTTTCTGACTTATCGGGAAAGACCTAGGCTCCAGAAAGGGCCGAATCCGGCAACTCCTTTCACTCTAAAACAATGGAAAGCGTTACGACTCGAAATTTGTCGTGCCGCAGAGTTGTCGAGACCTAGTCGGCGATTGGGGTGGATTCTATCATTTCCCTGCCCTTGAAAACCCCAAAATTTATAGGGGGTTCTACCCGCTAGGCGGAGAGTGCAAGGGATGCAAATACCTCACGCCTGGCTGCCTGCATTGCGATCGGGCAGGTTTTTTCTAACGGATCTTTTAATTCGATTTGCTACCGTACCTAAATTGGGGTGTTCAGACGGGCAAGTGCCTGGATTGCGGCGCGACCCAAATGCTGGTGCGCACGAAACATGGATCGATGTGCATGGCATTTTGCATCAAGTTGGGACTTAACCTCGTTATACTGAAACATGTTGACTTTAAACGATCCAACAATTCCAGGGGCTTTTTCTACGATACCGAGGAGCGACGGTGCCGGCAGTGTCCCAGCTGGTGCGCCGAGTGCTTTGAGTGGGCGAACGTGTTTCTAGAGAATCTAAAAGTTTTTAGCCTCTCGCGCTGCAAAAGATGCGCCCAGGGACTGTACTCCTACATCAAGCCCGTCAAACGACCTGCCGACGCGCGGCTGAGGTGCTTGAACACGTGCCCGTAAGTTTGAAGCTGTGAAACTCTCGCTCACTCTATCTCTCTCTTTCTCTTTCTCTCTCCCTCTCTCTCTACCTCGCGATGACCGTATCACCAACTTTCCAGCGCGAGTACATATGCCGAAAAGACGGCACCTTGGCGATGTGTTCCGTGCGATCCGTCCTGCGATACTTGCTGTAAGTTACCACCTTGCTCTCTTTCTCTCTCTATGTCTCTCTCACTCTCTCACGCTTTCTCTCGCTCTCTCGCTGCAAAGTATCTTCCTGTTTAGATGGACCGACGAATCGCCACTGCTACGGCTGCAAGTCGTTCGGCATGCTCGACGCGGACAACATGCAGGTGCGGCCGTTCTCGCTGCTTCTCTCTCTCTCTCTCTCTCTCTCTCTCTCTCGCTCACGCTCTCTTTCGCCATGAATCGTCCATTTCCAGGCCTACTGCCACCCCCGATACCAGAGAGAGGCCGATCCAAGCGACCCATCTGATCCCACCAACTGCAACGCGACCGCCACCCCCGAGGCGTGCAACAAGCTTTTCTTGCATAGGGTATATCAAAACGTTTACTACAACCTACTTAATCATCGCAAAAATTGACTAGCTTGGCGATTTTCATGGAAACTTTGATCAAAAATCAAAAATTGGATGTAGTTAGTTAGCGGGTGGGGGTAACGGAGGGCCTCAGGCTTCAGACCAGGCCAATTTTCTCTTTTTAGTACGTCATGCCGCTCCTCGGCGTCTCGAGGACGATCTACGGCGTCGAGCTGCCCGACTTTTTCACCAAGGACGCGGGCGAGCGGGCGAAGATCGTCTACTCGGCCCTGTTCGGCAACCTGGAGATGTACTGGAGTTATTGGCATAGGTTGGGCTCTCTCTCTCGCATTCTCACTCTCTTTCTATCGCTCTTTCTCTCTCGCTCTCTTACCATTTCTTTTAGTCAAAACGTGAGCCGCGTCAGCCGCTACCCGTCGTTCTGCGTCGACGAAGAGTGCCTCAACAATTGCAACGCCAGCGTATCCACACTTTTCCATGTACGTTTTAATACGTATTTTCATGGACTACACACGTTTTTTCTCTGACTTTGACCCCCTAAACTTTCGGATACAGACACTTTGAGAGAAGCCATAGCCAAAAAACAGATTTAGCATTGTCGGGCTCTTTAAAACGTGAATTTTAGCCGTGCAAAGCCTGCGAAACCGGCACGGTACGCGACTTCAAGGGGTACTGCGTCAAGAGCTGTCCACCGTATGTTTCGATTTTTTGTAGTTTTCAAGAAAAATTGATGCTTTTTTCGCGAGTTGTAGTAATTACACGACTATAAAGTCATTTCTCGTAACTTTATTTTAAAGAAAAATTCATAAGATAAATGATTCCCGCCCCCGCGATAATGCAAAAGAACCACAGCCCGGCTATTGATCTCCTTCTGATGTTGCTAGAGCCTTACTTTTCCGTTATATACCAGCAGATACGGTACCCCAATTTCCAGGAGCAGCTTTAACACGAAGAAAGCCGCGCTGCCACCGATTCCGGGCGGTATTCGCGACTGTATCCCCTGCGTTGACCCGAGCCGCTGCATACGGTGTGATTGGGTATGCAAAACGGGTGGTCGTCTAAAACGTGCCCCTCCTACAGTACCCTTCGCTGAACTCCTCCAACGGCCCGGTGCACCCGGCAATGCTCATCCACGACCCCTACAACCACAGCAGGGAAATGGAGCTGGATGGTGGGTGTGGATAGGGAATCCCCAAAAAAACCCTGATGCCTCGAATCTCGGGTTCTTGTGCCTTATAGGGGGGGGAGAGAGGAGCCTTTTTGTATCAAATTTTTTTTAATATTGTTAGTCGCAGTGTTCTCAGCAATTTTTATACTATTCCTAAGCGCAAACTTTAGAGAAAAATGCAAACATGTCCTTTTTGGACGGGAATGCTCGAATTTCGACCAAAATTTCGAATTTACTGAATTTTTTAACGTTTTTCATAGATGTTCCTTTAAAATATAGCTATTAAAAATACCGTTGAAACACGCGAAACTCATTTTCCCTAGATCCGTCGGTCCAACGCATACGATGTCTGGAGTATCGGGATGGGAAGACCACGCCGAAATGCTTTGAAGAGTGGGTATTTTGTATTTCACGCTCCCTCTCTCTCCATTTCGCTCGCTCCCTCCCTCTCGCACTCTCTCACTCTCTCTCTCTCTGTCCTTCTAGCTATCCCCCTCTCTCTCTGTCTTTCTCGAGATCCCCCCCTCTCTCTCTCTCTCTCTCTCTCTCTCTCTCTCTGTCTTTCTCGAGATCTCCTCTCTCTCCCTCTCCCTCTACCTCACTCACTCTCACTCTCTCTCTCGCTCTCTCTCACTCGCTACCTCTACCTCTACTTTTCCAGATTCCAATTCGTCGACCAAACGGGCCACTGTCAGAACTGCCATCCGGAATGCATCGGATGCATCGGCTTCGACCAGGCCCTGTGCAAAAAATGCCGACACTACATGGATGAAAAAGCGGTAGCGCTACGGTATCTTCCTTAATTTTTATTATATAGAACTGCATCCGTCACTGCCCACCCGATCACACCCCAAGAGAGATGATCGATGGAGTGTGGTACTGCGAGCGGAACCTAAAGCCCGAGGAGGTCTTGCTAGAGGTTCGCTTCGCTGGAAGGCTTCTATTAATGTGTCCATGACTAGGACATCACGTTTAACCAGCACTACATGAGCAACGACCGGGTGGTGGAGATGACCGTGCCGATGATGCTGATGCTCTACGTGGCTTTGCAAGTATGCGGGGCGATTAGTGGGTTTCTCTCTGTCTCTCTCACTCTCACTCTCACTCTCACTATCTCTCCCTCCGTCTAACGATTAACCTTTACTTTCTGCAGTATCCTGGTACTGTGCCGGACCCGACAACTCCGAGCTGATCCCGTGGAAGCAGGAAAAGTGGGTAAAATCTTTTTTAAAGGAGCTGGCAAGCCATACATATGGGTTCTTGGCTATAGTTTGCTCTTTGTTTCCACTTGATAGATCCCCCCGGTAACGCAAAAGTACCACCTTTTTTCAGGAGAATTCGACGACGTGCCATCGCAGATGTGGCGCGATTCGTGGTCGCCCGCCGCCACGCCCGTTCAACTACCGATCTCCGCGGGCCACAAGTGCCGAAAGCCATGGGTTGTGAGTGGCTTCTGAACTGCTTGAACCTAATTTTTGCTCAGCCGCCGACGAAACTGAACATCGCAACCCGCTGATGGACCGCCGCGTCATCATCAGGCACATTGTAGGAGAAACGCGAAGTCTTGGTCATCAACCATTTTCAGTTGAAACGGAAGCTGGCCCAAAAGCCGAAGATGCCCGAGGTTATCAAGGGGCCGTCATGTGGGAGACGTTCCGGAACACAGCAATCGATTTTTTTAGACAGCGTCTCTGCCACCCAACCCAGCCCACCGACGGAGTCGCCGAAAAAGAAGGGCCACACCGACTCGGGCAAGTCCGGCAAGTCCGGGAAATCCGGCAAGCAGTCGAAGAACTCGCGCGTCTCAGCGAAGAGCTACAAGGAGGTGCTGTTCTCGCCGGTGCCGGAGAGCCTGGAGATTGACGCGACGATCGTGCCAACGGAGGTTACTACTTTGCACCACCACCCCCGCTAACAGCACACTACCAAAAAAATGGTCAATTCCAGCCCGCCGAAGTCAGCCCGTTCGGCAAAAGCCCGCTGAAGCCAATTACGCGTCAAAGCGAACCCGACAAGAAGCCGCCGACCCCGCAGAAGAAGTCCGGCATGCTACCGCCCATCGTCCGCAAGGCGTCCACCGGCCAGAGCGACCACATTGGTGACAAGGTGGGTAACTTTTTTCTACTTTTGGGTACTGGTTTCTTCTTACTAAAGGTTCTTCTATCTGAACTGGTTCAGAAGCCGCGCAACTCCCGCGAGGACCCCAAGCCGCCCACCTCGAAGCCGCCCACTCCGAAGACGGTGACGCCGCAGACGGCTGCTCAGCTGCCGCTGCCACCACTTCCACCACTTCCAGAACGTCGAGTGGCCAGTAGGGGAGCGGCCAGTCGAGGAGGGAAGAGTACGCGTCAGGTAGAGATTGCTTGGGTTTTGTTGGGCTTAGCTTAGACTTATGCGCAGGCTTAGGCTTAGATGATGCTGGAGCAGAGGCTTGGCCTTAAGTGAAGCATCGGCTTAGACTTAGGAAAGGGTATGCGGGGTTCGACTTTGCCAAAAACGTTATCTTTTTCTAGAAGAAGTCGTCGAACAGCGCCGAGGTGTCGGCCGGAATCAGCGCGGGTTCCGGCGCTGGGGCCGTCGCCGTCAAATCACCGCAGCGGTTCCCCGGAAATCGCACGAAAAGCCGTCACGACAACCGTCAAAAGGTAGCTTTTAACTGCTTTGAAAGATGTTATTTCTAGTCCCGCCGCTCCCAGCCCTCCGGCGCCCGTTCTGGCCGCCAGCTTCAATAACCAGAATCGAAACCCCGACAATATAGTTGCTGACCACGTAAAACTCGAAATTCCGATAATATGCTGATGTCCTGACGTTTACTTTACATTGCCCATTTGCTCGTTCTTGCCTGTGATTCTTCGTATACGTGGTCGATTCATGATGAAGAATAAATGCAATACGGGTTTTATGTGCAAGTTGAGAAGTTGAAAGAGAGAGAGAGACAGAGGCAGAGAGAGAGAGAGCGAGAGACACCGTCGAAGTGAGTGACAGCAAAAAAGCGAGAGAGTGATGAGACGGCGAAAATGCGAAAAAGCGAGCGGGGCCATCGAAGTGAGAGACAGCGAAAAACCGGGAGCTGGAGAGAGACCGACCTCCAAAACAATTCTTTTGCACTTTTTGATAGTAAAATCCGATAGCTTACTGTCCCGTATTTTTAAATCCATAGTTTATCCTCCTATAAAACTCGAAAAAATTATCAAAATCGACGAGTAGTAGATGACCAATTCAATGAGAAAAATTCGTAGACCAAAAAACCTGTGCATCGGCGGGGGTGGGCAAGTTATGAAAAACACACCAAAACATACCAAAAACAGATATGAAAATACAAAAATACATAAAGAAAGACGTGATGAGGGTTGTTTGTTGCAAATTAAAAAATTGTAAAAATTGCAAAGTTGATGACTAGATTTTGGCAATAATCTGAGCCTGGCATTGCGCGTGGGGGGAGATCACATTGAGGGGTACGGGCAGAATGAGACTTTATAGATTTAATTTTTGATGTAAGAGATTTTAAGCTTTTAAAGGACCGCTAAAGATAGGCGGGCTGGTCGGGCCGCAACGCGGCCACCCGCCGGATATACTCAGCCTCGCGGAAAAAGTCGGACTGAAACGAGTTGTGCCGGATGGTGGACATTCCTGAAAATGTGGATTTTTCGGGTTTAATGGGGTTGTGAAGGCTGATGGCGCTTGGACAAGCAAGGAAAAACGCTAGAAATTTTCATAAAGTTGAATTTTTAAAAAAATTCAGAAAATTGAGGCAAAAATCGATTTTTTTTTCGTAGTTTGCTGTGTTTTAAAATGTCGAAAATCAACGGATAAATCCGTGTGATTTTCTGTAGTTTCCAAGCGCCAATAGCCCATTTTCCACCGTGTGCAAAAATCGAAAATTCGCAAATCAACTACGGAAGAATAAAAACAGGTGCTACAAAAGTCGGAGGAGTGAACGAGGAGGGCTAGGATGTTATAAAACATTTTGTATATTTTTTCAAAGCCCATTTCTACAAAATGGACACGTAAAAACCCATGCAGAAGGACGCCATTAATTTGGAGGACATGTAAGATTCTGCGGAAAAACTACGCTGGAGAGGGGTTATGCCGAAAAATGGAAATTTGTACTTGTCATCTCTGTTTACGGTCAGAAAGTGCGTGTCTTGGTGCTTTGCGGAATCTTGACACCGACGGTTTCTTCCCCAAATTTCTTTGCTGGCTTGCTCAACAATGGCGAATTTTGGCAGTTTTTCTTCCGACAGAACCTGCGCTAGGTGGCTTCAGCTTGTATGGTGCTCATTTTTAAAGGGACGGTTTTTGTTGGTTGTGGATTCCTACAAAATTCCGCGGCACGCGACGCGCTAGCCGCATGTTTCACTGCGTAATGGACTACGGCTGCCAGGAGGCCTAGAAGCTGGCTTCGGCAGTAGGTCGCCTAGCGGCTGGGATTTGGCTGTGTTGCGGCTGCGTTGCGGTTTTCGAGATCTTAACATCCCTTCCTAGGCGTTCCGAGGTGTCGCGCCTGCGTTGCGTACCGTGCGGCGCAACGTCGGGTCACTTTAAAAGAGCGAAGCGACTCACGCGTTGCGTGCCGCGATTGCGGTAAAATCCGTACGAAATCCAGACCCAACAAAATCCAGCCTTTAAGCGGATCTATTTTCCAAAGGCAGTTCTACAATTTTTAATTTTTTGTATATTTTCGGCATAACTCCCTCTTTTTTCAATTCAAAAACTACAGGTTTAACGGGCTGGACTACTCTCTTCCTGCCAGTAGGTGAAAAACGGCGTCAAAATCGCCCAAACCAACTACGGTAGATCCGGGTGGGACACAAATGTTACCCTCTCTCTCTCTTTCCCTCAATAGCTCTCCCGTCGCATTGTTGCGGCTGCTAGCGGAATAGGAGGCCTATTTTCAGGGTATTTTGGCGTAATGACAAATTGAAAAAGTTAAAAATCGAAAATTGAACTTAGAGAAATTAGGGATTTTTTTTGGAAAAGGAGAGTACTGCATAATAAACAAGTTTCAATTTTTCTGAAATGTTATATGTCTACAGTATCCCTCCTTTCCCATCAATTACGACACCATATCCAACTGAAAAAACTCAATTTTTCAAGTTTTCCAAAATGTTATTTTTGGCTCAATTTGCGTGATTCGCCTGATTTACATTATGTCAGCGGACAGCGCCAGATCGAATCGTTTTCTTGAAGGAAAATTGCATTTTTAGCTTTTACTTGTTTGATAAAAATGGTAACATCTAAAAGTTTGATTAATGAACGGCACTCAAAAAAGCTGCCAGTGGTACCTGAACTCGTCTCATCGATAAATCGTAGTTTCATCAGTAGCTCATGGGGTTCGAAGGGTCGATCCCGGAGCTCGTTGTCCAGGAATTCACGTACGTCGTTCCAGGTTACCTTAAGCGGATATACTTTTGGCCTAATTCATCATTTTCCAACGCCACAGCCTCGATATTTCAATGGTCTCTGCTAGCTTGCCCCTTTCAAAAAGACTGAGCCGAACCCATTTCTCAAAGGATCTTTGTTAGCTTGCCTCGCACTTATAGGCTCGCGTCCCGGGCTCATTTCCAGAATCGATTCCTAAAGAAAATTCGCTAGTTTGCACTCCGATTCCTTCCTAGCTTTCCGAAAATTGCTCTGCTGGGGCCGTTTTATTTTTTTTGGCAAATTTTGTTTTTATTTGACTTGAATTCGACAGATCACGTTATTAAATAAGGCCACTAGCTTGCCACTCACTTTGTGAGCTCAACTTTCCTTTCCCAAGGGATCGCTGCTAGCCTGCCTGGCTACAGTTCATGATTGATATCGGGTTTCTGGTCTCTTGAAATTCCTACCTTTCCACCCTTTTTCCTCCTCATCGCCCCGAGTAGGGCGACAATTTCTTTCAGCTCTTCGCTCATGCCTAAGAATCGCTTGGCACGCCCGAAGTAGTGGATTCGAGTGAAGTAGGCCTTCAGATGGGTTGAAGCGAGATCGACGCACATTGTCACGACGGATAAACCTGAAAAGATGATCAGATGAAAGTTAAGAGCGAGAGAGAGAGAGAGAGAGAGAGAGTGAGAGAGTCAGCGAGAGAGAGAGAGTGAGAGAGAAAAAAGAGAAAGAGATAGACCTACCAACTATCACAAAAGCGACGATCAACGATAAGAATATGTAGTCGACGACGACGATATCCCCCAACCCGACCGTCACAATCAAATTGAAGCCAAAATGGAAGGCGTGGATGAAAGACCTAAAAGTAATTTGATTACTTAATTACTATTTCACTTTGTAGATGAATTCTGAATGTGCAAAGTATTCTCACCAATTCCTCTCCCAATTGATAAACATGGCAGAGCCCATTGAGCAATACAGGCAGATACAGGCGACGTAGGCACCTGGAATAGAACTAGTAGCTGTATCACTTAATTTGGTAGAAACTAGATAATCAATTTTTTTAACTTTTTTTAAGAAATCCACGTTAGCGAATTGCGTCGGGTTGAAAAAGGCGTCAAAGCTTGCGAATTTCCCTAGGTATCACTGCCAGCTTGCCCGCAGCAAGGCTCGAAAATTTAGTCGAAAAGCTCTGCAATCCGCATCAAGGCGTAGCCGAACAGTCCGAAATGCCGACAAACAAGCATCATGCTTTATAGACAAAATGCCGACAGGCGGAAACTCCGACTGTATCTCTACTTTTATCGTGATTTTGCCTTGTCGCCATTTTTCGGCATTCGGCATTATGCCTTTTCGGTATTTTTGCTGCCGACCTTCTGGTTGTCGGTATTCTCAAGATCGTGTTCTTTAAAAACCCAGGCCTTCTTTCCCACTCACCAATCGGAAACCAGAGTTTATCCTCGGTGCCGTCCATCCCCAGTATCTCCATGGTGTCGGTGTTCCCATTTGATGAGTGCACCGACTTCCGCCGAGAATACCGATTTCGACAGAGGAATTGCTAAAAAAGGATTGATACCTTCGAATTAAAATGGTAATAGGCATTTGACAGTCTTTGACAGTGGACAAATTGAGGGCCCCAGGCATATGCAGATTCATTTAAGACAGAGACATAAGGATTCCGAGACCAGGACAGCTTTCAAGTCAGGACAGGTTTGGAAGTTTCGATGCTTTTTCGGAAATGTTATCGAAAAAAGGGTACTAGACTTCAAGCGGGGGGGACTTAGCTGGAAAACTAACTATTCGCCCTTTTCCACCTCTATCTACCTTTTAGTTAAATAAAATGTAATTTTCTAGTGCTTTTGGTGATTACGAGTCGGTCACGAAGTCATTAAACTATCTAAAATTTTTTAGAAATCTTGTACATTTTGACTTTTATAGTTTTTTATAAATCCGAACAAAAATCAAAAATCTTCAAAAATCTTACAATTTTTTATGCGCTTTCTATGCCTGAAAACCGCATTAACTGTTATAGAAGGGTATATTTTCTTATAGTGCCGTAGGGGGTTATTGGAAATAAATTATCCCCCCTGCTAGCAGCATAGTACCGAATAATGCTATACCTCAGATTTGGATTTTCTGAACTATCTAACTTTCCCGCCTCAAAGTTGGACGTAAAGATACAATTTACGAGCCACATTTTCATGCTGCCATTTTTGAAAATCAGAAATAGGTCCTCCGCGTGACGCTTTTCGAAATATTCCATGCATTTTGGAAACGATAGAATCGAGATTCCAATATAGGATGATAAGAGATTACATAGGGGGCGGGCTCTTACCTCCACCGGTTCCGACCATTCCTT